ATCATAGTAGGCTTTTTTCAAAAAACGTATTGATTTTATATCTTTATTAGCATTCTTTATCATTTATAATATCTAGATATGTTTTAAAATGCAATTTAACGCATTTTTGGTTTTGATCATAGAAAGCCATTTTCAAAAACCATATCGATATTATATCTATATTAGCATTCTTTATCATTTATAATACCTAGATATGTTTTAAAATGCAATTTAAAGTATTTTTGGTTTCGATCATAGTAGGCTATTTTCAAAAAACTTATTGATTTTATATCTATATTAGCATTCTTTATCATTTATAATACCTAGATATGTTTTAAAATGCAATTTAAAGCATTTCTGGTTTTGATCATAGAAAGCCATTTTCAAAAACCATATCGATATTATATCTATATTAGCATTCTTTATCATTTATAATACCTAGATATGTTTTAAAATGCAATTTAAAGTATTTTTGGTTTCGATCATAGTAGGCTATTTTCAAAAAACTTATTGATTTTATATCTATATTAGCATTCTTTATCATTTATAATACCTAGATATGTTTTAAAATGCAATTTAAAGCATTTCTGGTTTTCGATCATAGTAGGCTATTTTCAAAAAAAAAATATCGATATTATATCTATATTAGCATTCTTTATCATTTATAATATCTAGATATGTTTTAAAATGCAATTTAAAGCATTTTTGGTTTTTGATCATAGTAGGCTATTTTCAAAAAAAAAATATCGATTTTATATCTATATTAGCATTTTTTATCATTTATAATACCTAGATATGTTTTAAAATGCAATTTAAAGTATTTTTGGTTTCGATCATAGTAGGCTATTTTCAAAAAACTTATTGATTTTATATCTATATTAGCATTCTTTATCATTTATAATACCTAGATATGTTTTAAAATGCAATTTAAAGCATTTTTGGTTTTCGATAATAGTAGACTATTTTCAAAAAAAAATATCGATTTTATATCTATATGAGCATTCTTTATCATTTATAATACCTAGATATGTTTTAAAATGCAATTTAAAGTATTTTTGGTTTCGATCATAGTAGGCTATTTTCAAAAAACTTATTGATTTTATATCTATATTAGCATTCTTTATCATTTATAATACCTAGATATGTTTTAAAATGCAATTTAAAGCATTTTTGGTTTTCGATAATAGTAGACTATTTTCAAAAAAAAATATCGATTTTATATCTATATGAGCATTCTTTATCATTTATAATATCTAGATATGTTTTAAAATGCAATTTAAAGTATTTTTGGTTTCGATCATAGTAGGCTATTTTCAAAAAACTTATTGATTTTATATCTATATTAGCATTCTTTATCATTTATAATACCTAGATATGTTTTAAAATGCAATTTAAAGTATTTTTGGTTTCGATCATAGTAGGCTATTTTCAAAAAACTTATTGATTTTATATCTATATTAGCATTCTTTATCATTTATAATACCTAGATATGTTTTAAAATGCAATTTAAAGCATTTTTGGTTTTCGATAATAGTAGACTATTTTCAAAAAAAAATATCGATTTTATATCTATATGAGCATTCTTTATCATTTATAATATCTAGATATGTTTTAAAATGCAATTTAAAGCATTTTTGGTTTTCGATCATAGTAGGCTATTTTCAAAAAAAAATATCGATTTTATATCTATATTAGCATTTTTTATCATTTATAATACCTAGATATGTTTTAAAATGCAATTTAAAGCATTTTTGGTTTTGATCATAGAAAGCCATTTTCAAAAACCATATCGATATTATATCTATATTAGCATTCTTTATCATTTATAATACCTAGATATGTTTTAAAATGCAATTTAAAGTATTTTTGGTTTCGATCATAGTAGGCTATTTTCAAAAAACTTATTGATTTTATATCTATATTAGCATTCTTTATCATTTATAATACCTAGATATGTTTTAAAATGCAATTTAAAGTATTTTTGGTTTCGATCATAGTAGGCTTTTTTCAAAAAACGTATTGATTTTATATCTTTATTAGCATTCTTTATCATTTATAATATCTAGATATGTTTTAAAATGCAATTTAACGCATTTTTGGTTTCGATCATAGTAGGCTTTTTTCAAAAAACATATTGATTTTATATCTATATTAGCATTTCTTATCATTTATAATACCTAGATATGTTTTAAAATGCAATTTAAAGTATTTTTGGTTTCGATCATAGTAGGCTTTTTTCAAAAAACATATTGATTTTATATCTATATTAGTATTCTTTATCATTTATAATACCTAGATATGTTTTAAAATGCAATTTACAGCATTTTTGGTTCCGATCATAGTAGGCTATTTTTAAAAAAATATCGATTTTATATCTATATTAGCATTTCTTATCATTTATAATACCTAGATATGTTTTAAAATGCAATTTAAAGTATTTTTGGTTTCGACCATAGTAGGCTATTTTAAAAAAACATATTGATTTTATATCTTTATTAGCATTCTTTATCATTTATAATACCTAGATATGTTTTAAAATGCAATTTAAAGCATTTTTGGTTTCGATCATAGAAGGCTTTTTTCAAAAAAAAAATATTGATTTTATATCTATATTAGTATTTTTTATCATTTATAATACCTAGATATGTTTTAAAATGCAACTTAAAGTATTTTTGGTTTCGACCATAGTAGGCTATTTTCAAAAAACATATTGATTTTATATCTTTATTAGCATTCTTTATCATTTATAATACTTAGATATGTTTTAAAATGCAATTTACAGCATTTTTGGTTCCGATCATAGTAGGCTATTTTTAAAAAAATATCGATTTTATATCTATATTAGCATTTCTTATCATTTATAATACCTATTTATGTTTTAAAATGCAATTTACAGCATTTTTGGTTTCGATCATAGTAGGCTATTTTTAAAAAAATATCGATTTTATATCTATATTAGCATTCTTTATCATTTATAATACCTAGATATGTTTTAAAATGCAATTTACAGCATTTATAGTTTCGATCATAGTAGGCTATTTTTAAAAAAATATCGATTTTATATTTATATTAGCATTCTTATCATTCATAATACCTAGATATGTTTTAAAATGCAATTTAAAGCATTTTTGGTTTCGATCATAGAAGGCTTTTTTCAAAAAAAAAATATTGATTTTATATCTATATTAGTATTTTTTATCATTTATAATACCTAGATATGTTTTAAAATGCAATTTAAAGTATTTTTGGTTTCGACCATAGTAGGCTATTTTCAAAAAACATATTGATTTTATATCTTTATTAGCATTCTTTATCATTTATAATGCCTAGATATGTTTTAAAATGCAATTTAAAGCATTTTTGGTTCCGATCATAGTAGGCTATTTTTAAAAAAATATCGATTTTATATCTATATTAGCATTCTTTATCATTTATAATACCTAGATATGTTTTAAAATGCAATTTAAAGTATTTTTGGTTTCGACCATAGTAGGCTATTTTTAAAAAAATATCGATTTTATATCTATATTAGCATTCTTTATCATTTATAATGCCTAGATATGTTTTAAAATGCAATTTACAGCATTTTTGGTTTCGATCAAAGGAGGCTATTTTTAAAAAAATATCGATTTTATATCTATATTAGCATTCTTTATCACTTATAATACCTAGATATGTTTTAAAATGCAATTTACAGCATTTTTGGTTTTGATCATAGTAGGCTATTTTTAAAAAAATATCGATTTTATATCTATATTAGCATTCTTTATCATTTATAGTACCTAGATATGTTTTAAAATGCAATTTAAAGCATTTTTGGTTTTCGATCATAGTAGGCTATTTTCAAAAAAAAATATCGATTTTATATCTTTATTGGCATTCTTTATCATTTATAATACTTAGATATGTTTTAAAATGCAATTTAAAGCATTTTTGGTTTCGATCATAGAAAGCCATTTTCAAAAACAATATCGATTTTATATCTATATTAGCATTCTTTATCATTTAAAATACCTAGATATGTTTTAAAATGCAATTTAAAGCATTTTTGGTTTCGATCATAGTAGGCTTTTTTCAAAAAAAAAAAATTAATTTTATATCTTTATTAGCAATTTTTATCATTTATAATACCTAGATATGTTTTAAAATGCAATTTAAAGCATTTTTGGTTTCGATCATAGAAAGCCATTTTCAAAAAAAACAATATCGATTTTATATCTATATTAGCATTCTTTATCATATATAATACCTAGATATGTTTTAAAATGCAATTTAAAGCATTTTTGGTTTTGATCATAGTAGGCTTTTTTCAAAAAAAAACATATTAATTTTATATCTTTATTAGCAATCTTTATCGTTTATAATACCTAGATATGTTTTAAAATGCAATTTAAAGCATTTTTGGTTTCGATCATAGAAAGCCATTTTCAAAAACAATATCGATTTTATATCTATATTAGCATTCTTTATCATTTATAATACCAAGAGTTGTTTTAGTTTCACGAAAAACACACCTTTTTTAATACAGCCTGATGGACTCATTTTCAAAAATCTCAAAGGGTACCAAAATGTGTGTATAGGAGCCTGGATTTTTTTGTGCATAAGCTTTAACAATTGGACATCATCTATGCCTTCAAAACGCCAAAAAAACGTTTCTCCACTCCGTTCCGCACAGCTCGTCCAATTCCCTTCCTACAGCTAAGACTCCCATCAAAAGTATCCTTTCACAGACATTGCAAGCATCTGACAACGAGTAAAAGATTTGATATTTTATTAGTTTCCTCATCTTAACACATAGTACTTCAAGAAAATATTCTCCAAAATCATGAAAATTATCATTTTTCGATCTCTATTTACTCAGTTTACAAGCAATTTGGCAACGTTTATGTTATCTAACGTAAGTCAAGCGTGGAAGTTCGTGGCTTTTTGCGTAAGTCGTATTTTTTTAAAATAATTTTCAATCAGTTAACCATAACAATTATGATCTAAAGGCATGTAATAAGAAGAAAAAAAAAAGCCAATTATTGGACTTAATAATTGATTTTATTATGCATCAAAATAAACATAGTCATTACTAATTAATGAATCAATTGGTGATGAGGTCGTTGCATTATTTACCATTTTAACAGCCCAGTCTGGGAACTCGCCTATATCTGGATATATAATTGCACCCCAGCTATTTATATAAATAAAATAATACGTTCATATTAGCAATTTATATGCATGTAAACAGGTTTACACAGCTACTACTACTTACGTTGGGAATGTAGCCCACACTACGATTAATGTGAAGATAGTTGGTCCAATACCAGCTATTGCCATATCTTTTGTTCTAATGTTCGCAATTCCAGCCACAATTGCATTAGCCGGAGTTCCAACTGGCATATGAAAAGCAAAGCTACAGCATAAAGTTGCTGGATACATCAACATCATAGGATGAATTCGAACATTTAAAGCCATTTCTGCAAGAACTGGCAGAATAATGTTGGTGATTGCGACATTTGACGTGAATTCAGTAAGTATTTGACAAATAACACAGATCAAAAGGATCAACGCAAGATAGTGTAAATTTTGAAAGACTTGTAAACTTTTTCCAACCATTTGCGACATTCCTGATTCTTTTCCACCTTCAGCAAGAGCAAATCCACCTCCAAGCAAGAAAACAAGGGACCTATGAATATAAAGTTTTTTTTGGAATTACTTCACCTTCTGAGACAAGAAAGTATGTTATTCACCATGGGGTCTTAGTGTTTATATAATTCCATGTGATTAAAGATCCCGTAGCTGACGTTGGTAAATCCTTTGTGGTTGACTTGAAGAATCTGAAGCACTTCCAATTCATGGGTAACATGAAGAAAGCAATTACTATTAAAATAGCTGCACTAGCATCTTTCACTTTTCTGTATAAAGAAGCATAGTGATTTAAAATTTATATCCAATAAAAAGTCAAATATATATGCTTACATGTTAAGATGCAAGAGTTCGGGCCAGCCAGGCATGAAACCAGGAGCACGTAAGAAGAAAAGTGCAACAGCAGTAATGAATAAAATAGCAACGCTTAGTTCATGAGAAGTCATTGATCCCAATTCCTTATAACGCGTTTCAATGACTTGACGTGCTACTTTTTCACCTTCTTCTCCAATATCAGCTTCCTTTGCTTCTTGACTATTAGGACGGAATAATCCCATATACAGCCACTGAAGATAGACCCAAGTTAAGAAGGTAAATACCAACATTCCGGGAACATCTTAATTTAATTTAAAAAAAAAATAATGTTATGTCAATGTGTTTAATTGAATGATGTAAGGAAACTTACTATAGAACATCCATTTTGGAAAATCGATACCTGGTGCTTCTGGAAATCTTGCTTCATAAATACCTTTGAATGTCAAGTTGACACCTGAGCCAACAATTGTACCGACACCACCTAGAATAAAGAGTCTTTCCGTTCAGTAAATGAACGTCTTTAGAAGTAAAGTAAATCTACCTAATGTAGCAGCATAACTTGCACCTAAAAAGTAGCAAATAGTTGTCTTTGAGGGCATTGGAGGCACTTCGTTTTCCTTACTGCTTATCATTCCTTCTTCTTCATTTGCCTTCTTTTTGTCTTGATACATTTTACAAATTCCTTGACGTTCCAATTCTTCAAGTACGGCTTGCACTGTAAATATTCAAATAGTACGCAATTAAAATGGGATAAATTGTTTATGGCTGAAAATATGTACTGATTGGACACATCATTGCGATTGCAGCAGTATTTGAGATCCACATTGAAACGAACATTGTTACTGCGGTTAAACCAAAATTTAATCGACGTTGACTGCATCCAACTATTGAAATGACTTTTAAAGCCACACGTTTGTGCAAATTACAGTATTCAACTGCTTCTGCAAGAATTAAACCAGCAATAAACATGACCATTGTTTCTTTCATGTACATCATGCAAACACGATCAGTGTCGAGGATATCCATCACTGTAGCATATTAGAATAACATGTAAATTATCAAGTAAATTTAAGGTTGTAGTTAAGAACATCTTACATGGAAAAGCAACTATTGGAATCATTCCAGTAATCGGCAAAGGAATTGCTTCAGAAACCCAATAAACTGTCATCTATAAAATCAAAATATTTTACAACTTTATTCTTTCGGATATGTATCACTTACTGTCATTATGATATAAAGGCATCGCAATGGTTTTACCAAATCAGCATTGTGATTTGTCAACATTACTGGCAGACATATCAATGGAGTGAGAACAACAATCAGAGATCTCCAATAACAGCCTAAAAAACCGCATATACGCTGCTTTGGAGTGTACTTTCTTGTTAGATTAGATCTGTAAATTTAACAATAATTTTATTCTTGTGAGCTTTAGTTGAAAGCTTGACAAAAAATCTTACGGTAAATCTTCATTTCGACTTGATTTGGCTTTTGACATCCTAAGGCAGTAATTAAAATAGTGGCACAGGGTAACAGAAATCTGCAAATACAAATTTGTTTGACAATTAGAATCATCAAAGCACCTAAAAGTAACTTAAATGTCAGAGATTGATGTTTTTAACTTTAAATATTACTCTTCCTTATTCCAAAAATGCTCGATTTTCGAGTAACGGAACAATCATATATGAATCCATGCTTCATGACAGTTTTAAAAAAATCTTTTTTCAGTTAAATCATTATGAATGTTTAAAAACTGTCAGAATAATCCATTCTAATATAAAATTCTTTACCTACCTGTTGCTTCTTAACAGTTTAACGCCAAACAAGAGTTTATTCTTGCTTACTTCCTGTTTAACTTAAAATTTGTTGAATTTGGTTAAAGAACTTTTTGGTTTGCAACATAAAAATGAAAATGAATATTAAGAAATTTCAATGATATCTTCGTCATAAAAAAAAAATTATATCCAACATGTGTTCAATTTAAAATCAAATGTTAAAGTCTAAACCCAGAATGATTTATTTGACCATGCGTTCAAAACTTAATTGATTGCTTTTCCTCATTAATACAGAAACTTTATCTGTTGAGACCTTAAGATCCATAGCGGTGTGTTATATTACAAGTATGATAGTTAAACGCGTGATAGTTCGCCAAAATACTTCTAAAATCTAGATCATCAGTATGATGTAGGATCTCATTGATGACATTTATGCCTATAACATACTGAAGAAGCCTCATTTAAAGCACATGGGATTAAAAAAGGACAAGTGAAAATTTTTCAATGCTGAGTCTCGAAAGCTGTTTTGCTGTGTCGGTATTGCAAATAATTTGGTACCTACGGAAGTACGAAACCATTCCAAACTTTAGCTCTTGAGCAAATAATCTGAGTCATAAATTGAGCTTAATGTTTTTCAAGCTAAAATTTTTAAATTTTTTCTAGATCTAAAATCTTTTAATGCTTCTTGAACTAAGAATTATCAACCTGTTACTCTATCCTATCTATAGGCTGGACATGTTATTAGAAGACCTGTTGACGCTCCATTAAATAAGGTCTTCAAATTCGATTTTGTAGATGGAAAGAGATCACGTGGAAGACCAAAGATTTCATGGAAAGAGGCTGTTGATAGAGACAGTGTTTCATTTGGAATCGGCAATTGGCAGACGGTAGCCAGCGAAAGAACTAGTTTTAAGGGACGGCTAAGGGAGGTCATGGATCACAACTGATCTGTACGACCAGCGAAGTAAGTAAGTACTCTATCTTGGTACTATAAGAAGGTAAAGGAGATTCACATTTCTCTCTTAAATGAATAATGACATCACATGTGCTGAATGGTTTCGACATCTTTAGAAATTATTTTATCAATTTAACAGCTTATGATCAATCGATAGTTCTTAGTTCCTTTAATTTTAAGCTTCAAAAATAGAAAGCGATTCAAATTATTTCAAAAACAATCAACTTCCATGCTACTAACTTGAGCATAGAAATGTTATGCAATAATCACCCTTATATGTATTTTTTTCCTGGAAGCATAATTTTTAAATAATTTAAAAAACGGTAATTTCATTTCTATTTTGATATACCTATTTAGATAATAATCTTAAATAAACAATTTTTATTTGACAAAACTAAGCAGAATCATTAAAATATTCATTAAGTTCGCTTGCTTTTTTGCATAAGAGATAAAATTGATGTCTGTATCTTTTCAGCTTCCTTCAGTTCCGTCTCTAATTCCGAAATTCTTTTTTGCTTCTGTATTATTTCATTTTCATTTAATTTAATCACTTCCTGTAACTTAGCTTGTTCCTTTTCAGCACTTTTTGTGACTCTTTTTCGTTCAGCTAGTGCACTTGACACTTTCGATTCTCGCAAGCTCTTTTCTTCCTCTAAACTTTGCTTCAATTGTTGTATGCGGGTTTCCTGAAATGAAATTTTGGTCATAAAGAAAATTGTTAATAATAAGGCAAGTTATTCTTGCATTTTCCTTCTGTGCATGTCTGAATTTTTGCTTTTCTGTCTCCATTGCTGCCTTTTCTACTCTGAACTCTACAAAAAGGAAACGAATTAATATCTGAAATTGCATGAGCATGACATTTCAACTTACTCTCAATTTCCTTATTCTTAATAGCGATCTGTTTAGATAGCTGAGAAGTTTTCGAGCTTTCCTTTTCAACTTTGTTTCTAAAGGATTCAATTGTGTGTCCCAGATGCGAATTTTCTGATTCCAATTTAAGATTAACTTTCATGGCATTTTCAATGTCAAGTTGCATACTCCAATTGACAAATTCCTGCTTATCTCCTAATCTCCTTAATAAACAATTTTGTTGTTGTGCCTTATTATACAGATCGGCATATGTGTTGAGAGAATCACTTATTGTCGTCATATGATCTTGCAGATAATTGTTCTTTTGACGATACAAGGAGATCACATCGGATGCCTTTATTCCATTATAGTCATTATTGTCTAATTTTTGATTAATTCTCTTAATAAGACCGTCTAAGTCGTCCAACAAATGTCTTGTGATGTATTTGGATGAGAATTTAGATTCTGGTCGATTATTGACTTATTAAGCTACCTTTTAGAAACAAGTTTCAAAAATGTGCTAAAAAAACCGAAGCCAGAATTAGTTATATTTCCATAGAATATGATAAATAAATGAAAGTTTACCTTAAATCCAAAATTAATTTTGCTTGTCCTGTTCATAGTTATAAAATATGATTCGTCTGGATGAAACGACGACATATTGCTTCTTCCAACCATGCCTTCGGATGTTTTGTTTGTTTGGAACGTGTAGCCATCCTTCAAAAATTGCAGTTATCTCCATCTGAAGCTTCATTACACGCTTTTATTTAACTCACACTGTTTGTATGTTTCATGCGTCAAATTTTGTAATCGTTATTTCGATCACTTCTACTGCTCCAATCGAGCTCAAATTTTTTATGCACACTTATTCTCGGTGACAATACAATATTTTAACACTTTGGAACCACAAAAATGCTTAATTATAGTACAATTTAAGTATAACTTTTTTTATATGGGAAAAAATCCAATGTCAATGACATATAATTTTGATTTGTTTAAAATATTATACTTGAAATGTTCAAAAGTCATTTACATGATTCATTATAGTTTAATTAATATTATTAATTATTATAAATTTGAATAGCTAAAGATATTCTGGTAAGACCAGTAAAAAAATTGACAAGTAATTTTTTCATGGATATTCGTAAGTGAAAATTTGAATTTTAGAAAAACCGTTAACCGCAAGTCAGTTACGTTTTTAATACAAAATAACTATTGATATGCAAATATGCATTTAGCACACATCGTTTGAGCATAATATATATGCTTTTAATGTATTTGATTGATTCTTAACAATTGACTAACATTTAATGAAATTCACTTTCTTTTTATCAAAGGCTTGACGTAGTTTTGCATAACATATAAATGACATTCATTAAAATTAAATTTGAAAAATCCGTTATAAATACTTTAGTATTAAGTAGAAATGGTACGAATAAACACCAAATCTTTATGATTGATTTTTAATGTACTTTACTAATTGATGTTCAGGACACTTTTAAGAGTTTAATGTGTTTCCAAGTATGAATTAAATTATATAAAACGAATGAAAAATTTTGATAGTCTTTACTAATTACCCATTAAAAACTGGTATTCAATAAATAGTTGAACGAAACGGAGTGAAACTAAGTGAAGTTTAGAATTTTGAAAGTTGAATCGATTTGGAGATTTTAAAGACTAAAAAGTAGAAAATAAAATACTTTAAAAAAAACTTTTTTTAAAAAAGCACGCTTTTATTTCCGATTACAGAGCACTAAAAAGAAGAAAATAATTTTTTTTGCTAAGCTCTCAAATTTGATACAAAATTTTATGACTCAAAATAAAAGCGTGGGGCGCTGTTATAAATATCACTTAATCTTGAATTTGTATGTTTACATAAGCGTTAGGTCTTCAATGTTTATAGGTTTGTCTAAGGAGAATGATGAGCCCATACAAATTATGGTAAATCTGAGACGGTAGACTTGATCTTTATGAGATTAATGTAGAGTTTTCTGTGTGGCACTAGAAATCAAGTCTTACTCTCCTGCTAAATCAAACTAGTTCCTTTGTGTCAAAAAATAATTTGAGATCAAAACGTTAAAAGCTCTTTCGTTTTAATACAAAAGTTGAATTAAGAAATGGATAATTAAACTGAATTCAAATAAATTTTAGAAAATCTAGAGCTAGTTTATATTTAACGCCCCACGCTTTTATTTTGAGTCATAAAATTTTGTATCAAATTTGAGAGCTTAGCAAAAAAAATTATTTTCTTCTTTTTAGTGCTCTGTAATCGGAAATAAAAGCGTGCTTTTTTAAAAAAAGTTTTTTTTAAAGTATTTTTTAAGCTGAAAATATTTTATCGATCAGAAAAGTTTTGAAATTTAACGGTCCGATTAATTTTTGAATTATATTTTTTTAACGAAATTTATAAATTCAAATTGATAAAATCCGTTAAATTTTAACTAAAGTTACTGAATTCAAACTTGGAAAATACGTTAAAAATAACTTACTTGTCGTTCCTCTAAAAGCTGATTCTGTATGTCCTGATATTTGAGCATCAATCGATTAAACTTGTCGCGCTCTTGTGTCAACTCCAATTGAAGTCGTCGACTCTCCTTTTCTTTCTTTTTAAGTTCAGCATTCTGGCTGGCACTGACCTTCGTTTTTTGTTTGCCTGGAATGACTCCATCACGTCTATTCATTATTTCAGCGAGTTTATTGACTGCTTGCTGCTTCAATAACGTCTCATTCTTCAATTTTGCATGAAGCTTCTCCAATTCCACCTGATCAACCTTATATTTAACCAAATCATCCTGAATTTTATTGTTTTGATTCGTAAGTTCCTCAATTTCACTACTTTTGATCGATACCTTATTGCTCAAATCATTCTCAATGTCACGTAGACTCTGAATTTGTGTCACCTTAGCTGCAATTTCATTCCTATGTTTTCCTATTAAGTCTTTAATTTCTAATTCCTTCACAGTCTTTTCTTTTTTTAAGTCTGCCACCGTCTCCTCTGCTATTGACTTCACCAGAGCTTCGGAATCAGCTCTAGCTAGTGCTAACTGCAAATGATGAAATACTGATTGTTTCTCTTCTTCAAGATATTAAAGTGAACGAGTTCTGTCCTCAACTTCTTCTCGCAATTCGGAACTTTGTGTTTTGTATAATCGCGAGAAATATTGTTTGGCTTCTAATTGATCTTGTAGTTCCTTCATTTGTAAAATATCTGAATTGTGAGCATTTTTGATCTTTGCTACGTCCTCTTCGAATTTTTTCTTCATTTCTCTTAATTGTTGGACTTCCTTTACAAGCTGAATTTCTCTTGATTTTAAATGCGCCACTTCTGAACTTTGCAGGCTGAATTCTGATAACAATGAAGTCTTTTTACTTTGTTCTTGCTCTAATTGAATATGTAGGAATTCAACCTTTTCAGTTTCCTGACGATATTCACCTTCAAGTTTCTGTAATCGCTGCTGGATCTGCCGATAATCGACTGACAACATTGATATCTGTCGTTCCTTCTCTTGTGACATTTGATCGGATTTTTGTCTCGCTGATTTTTCCTCGTTTAATTTAGCTTGCAATGACTTTACTTCCTGCATACTCATATCATCCTTATGTGCAATTCTCGTCTTTTCAATTTCTTGTCTCGTATTTAACTCTTGTTGATAGCGATTCTGAACAGCCTTAAGTTCAAGTTCAATTGATGCATTTTCCTTTTCAAATTCAGATATTTTCTCACTCAAATGTCGATTATCATCGAGAACCTTCATCTCTCTCTTGGTACATCGTTCCATATTATTACGTAATGTGAGAACTTTTCCTTTAAGCTCTTTCTGGATCTCAATACTTTGTGTTCGCGCGGTTTTTTCTTGTGCTAAACGCGTCTCTAACTCAGCAACTTCTTGCTGTAATACATCACGTTGTGTCTGCAGTCCAGTCATTATTGATTGAAGTTCGTCCATTTTATGTTCCATATCACTTTTTACCAGACGAAGTTCGGCAATTTGTTTCTTCAGCTTTTGACTATTTTCCGTTTCTGATTTATATTTCTCTTGAACATCATTCAATTGCTTCTCTAGTCCATTAATCTTATCATTAAATTGCTGATTACTCGTCATTTCACGTTTTCTCTTGCTCTGTTCTTCTTCAAGACGCTTTTTCGTCTCTTTCAGCACTGCTTCTGTTTTTTTACGCAATTCTGACTCGTTTTCGGACTTTCGTTGTACTTCCCTAAACGTATGCTTAAGCATTGCCAATTCTTTCTCATAATCATTCGCCAAATTTCTAACTTCTGACTCGCGTTGAGTGATTGTTTCAATTTGCTGCCTCAGACTCCTTTCTTGCTTCTCCAACATTTCTAATGTGCTTCTTTCACGTTGAAGCATTGCTTCTAATTTCATAATTTCAGCACTATTTGATGGTCTATGGTGATGATTATGCTGTTGTTGAATGTCAAAAAATATTATTTTTCTAAATATGATTGAAAATTTCAATGAAAAAAAAATCCAACAACCTTTGAAATTTGACCATTTCTTAATTTTCTTCAGTATTGTGTAAATAATGGAGGAGAAAACAACGAAGAAATTTTCTGGAATGGATTCAATCATTCAAGACACCGCTGCACATCTGCTTCAACTTGGGGAAAGTTTATCGAGGAGGAAAAAGCGAGATATTTTCTACTGGCTTAGCAAATATCAGATGGAGGAAGAATATGATTGGAATGGTTCATTGACTGTCGAATGTGCCAACGCCAACAGGGAGCGTCGAATTGAGAGAGAAGTAAGTGTTGCATTACAGAAATGGATTCTGATGAAATGTTTGGTTTGTATGATTTTCATGGAAGGAATGTTATGTCCAGTTGGCACTTTGACTGGATCAAACAGACAAAAAGTTTTTTACTTCATTTCTTGACTTTTCAAGCTGTTTTAAAATTATTTGAAAAGTCAAGAAATCAATTAATTTTTTTTGTCAGTTCCAGTTGGAAGTGCCAATTGGACACGATGCTTCTTCAATGGAAATCTTTCCAACCTACAAGCAATCAGATTAACATCATGTGCTACCTTATCATTTTCTTTTTCCGTTGGAACGAGAAAAAATCAACGCATGCTGCGAGAATTTTATTTATGAAAATTCTTACCTTTTTATATTTTATTTTTTTACAGCATATGGTTGATGATCCATCTGTAAAAGATTTGCCTGAGCAACTCTTGGTCTGGTCTTGTTGTGAAAAAGCTTCAATTCGGCGCGATATGATTAAATTCGTGCATCTTATTGAGATCAATAAGAACGGTCCAACGCGTCAACTTCGTCAAAATAAGTTCTTGAAGAAGCATCAAAAACTAAGGCTTGTGTTGTACAGATTTGCAACATGGAACAGGATCCGATGCCTTCAAATGAAGCAAATACAGCTAGTTCCTGTGATGTACTGGATGACTGAGTGGTTTGAGATTTCGTGCTTGAAGATTTTGAACGACCTTGAGAAGCTTATGAGGCTGTGGATTAATAATTATGACAACAGCGAATTATTTATCAAGCTGAATGCCTTCTTGCTTTCGCATCCTACTTTGACGACTGAAATCCAGAACTTTTTATGTTTTCAAAGTATTCTGCAGCGAAAGGTAAGTCAACTTAAAGTTTATAAATATTCTTGTACTCAATTAAAAAAAAATCATTTAAGGATCCTGGTGGAACTGGACCTTGGACAATTCCAATTCCTATTACCGATATGCAGGCTTTGGAAATTCATGACATTGAATGGGCTCGACAAGAATCGTGTGTTCAACGTACAAATAGCTTACCTGACATCAAGGAAATTTGTGAGGCTAGTACATCATCGCATGTCCGACAGACAAAAAGTTTGCCTATACTTACAAAAGCAACCGTTGATCAAGGCCCCAAAGGAATTTTAAAAAAACATAAGAACGTCATCATCAGTGATCGCACCGTCCGTAAGAAGTTAGTTTTCAGTGAAGACATGCCGAAGAAGGATCCACCACGAAAAGGATTTTTGTCAAAGTTAAAAAGGTCGGTGCGAAATTTCTTTAAAGTTGGGTTTGTTCTTGATCCGAAGAGTATTTTCGGAAACGATTGCGTTTTGGGTTGTACGCTATGGTGCGAGGGCTAGGCTATTTCGTCCATATTTTTCTTAAGGGAGAAGTGGGCGGCGAGAAGAGCATAATCAAATCTATATGGGAGTTGCGCCCCATTGACGCCAAGGAAGGGTTTGGGTGAGGGGGTAAGGGTTGGGGAGGCGAGAAGAGCATAAAAAAATCTATATGGGAGTTGCGCCCCATTGACGCCAAGGGAAGGGTTTGGGTGATTGGGTGAGGCGTAGGGGTGATTGGGTGAGGGGTGACTGGTAGCTTTGTTAACGTAAGGGGATTTTTCTTTTTAGTAACATGGACATGAATGAATTTCAATGGCGCGTTCGAGTTTTTTATATAATTTTTATCGAACGAGGCTTATCCTCTATAAAAAGGGCTTCGAACTTTTTAGGAATTACAAGAGGGGGTTGAGGGTGGGCTGTCCAAAAAAAAAAAACATTACTGTCAATCCGTCCGTCCGTATTATCCTGTTTATTAATTCATTTCTTTTTCAGCTCTTACTTACTTTATTTGTATTTCGTGAATTATTCCAATTCATTCACAACAAATACTTCCGGGCCGCTGAGAGTCATAACAAGATCTTTGCCCAATAAATCCTGAACGTGAGCTCTCTATTCATGACTCCAAGCCATGCCTTACGGTGTTACAGCTTGTTCTTGTTGGTTTGGAGGGGACGTAAAGGCCAGTGGTACTGAAATTCGTTGACTCACGGCGGTATTGATCTTTATAGAGGCGCTTCCAGATGGGTCGCACACCCTTAATGATAGATGCATCACGGCATTTAATGTAACCCGGTGATGTGTTTAACTTACAGTTTTTGTCATAGTTGGTAAAACTTGGCTATCCTGTAAGTTGCAACTAAGTCGTCTAACGAAAGTTGTTTGATTTAAGAAGGAGCGTATCACTGAGGAATTCGACCAAAAATTGATCATTAACCAGGGACTCGTTCTGTTGACCTTCGCGAGGTGAGTCCTGTGATCTTTTCTATTTCGGTAGAAGAGAGGCCGACAAACAGAAGTTGTGATTTGGATTGGATAATTTTGGAAATTAAAATGTTGGAGTTTCAATTTTTGTGACTCTTTTTAAAATTCTTGAAATGTGAATTTTTCGTGTTCAATTCTTGAAATGTGACCTTTTCGTGTTCAATTCTTGAAATGTGAATTTTTCGTGTTCAATTCTTGAAATGTGAATTTTTCGTGTTCAATTCTTGAAATGTGAATTTTTCGTGTTCAATTCTTGAAATATGAATTTTTCGTGTTCAATTCTTGAAATGTGAATTTTTCGTGTTCAATTCTTGAAATGTGAACTTTTCGTATTCAATTCTTGAAATGTGAACTTTTCGTATTCAATTCTTGAAATGTGAATTTTTCGTGTTCAATTCTTGAAATGTAACCTTTTCGTGTTCAATTCTTGAAATGTGAACTTTTCGTGTTCAATTCTTGAAATGTGAATTTTTCGTGTTCAATTCTTGAAATGTGAACTTTTCGTATTCAAATCTTGAAATGTGAATTTTTCGTGTTCAATTCTTGAAATGTGAATTTTTCGTTTGAAAATCAAATTTTTATTTCAAGTTGGATATTTTCGGTTTCGAATTTTTGAAGAAGGTTACTTCCTTCATTAAAGTTAAATTTGCTTAAATTTGCTATGTTTGCTACCAATAAGTAATCGAATGAATCAAATTAAAACTCAAATAAAGCAAAATCCCTAAATCAAATCAAAAAGCAAACGACATAAGGCAAATTGTATGCCTGGAACTTTAAAAACAAAAAGCATAAAAATGCATAGAGATTTTGTACATATTTAAATTTAAATGTAAATAAATAAAAAATTTAATTTAAAAAAAAAAACACCCGAATAGTCTCTTTGCTTTTAGAAACTACAAAAAATATGAAATAAGCTTTTGCAGCATGTAAAAAAGAATGCTTCGCATGCAGATCGCATAGACAATGATTTATTCAGTAGAAAATATTTGACTGACGTTGGAGAGATTATTGGTAGATCTATGCGTACTGATGACACAGAACGATTATTGACTGCATATAAAAAGTAAGGGATTGATATCTGCAAGGCAATTATTTTCAAACCAACATATCATAGCGCAACTCATTAAAATTGATGACCATAAACAGATAGGGTAACCCATGTTGAAATTTGTGTGTTTTTGCACTTGAAGATTTCATTTGCTTATAGCTTTTTAATACGTTCCTTTAAAAATTTACTGCTGGGCTTAAATCATCATAAATTGTTGGAATTTTCATTTTTTAATACTCTTTGATGGTTATGCAGCTTATTGGAAGAGAAATTAGACATTTTTGGTCAAATGTTGAAATTTGTGCAGAAAATTTTAAAATTTGTGCGAAAAAATGTTGAAATTTGTGCGTTTTTCTGACAGCAAGCATTGACGCATTTCAATTCACAAATGTAAACAAACAATATTTTAAAACATTTTTGAAGGGATTTAAAAATTGATTGCTTTCAAGGAACACTTCCAAATAAACTCCATCTCAATTTTAAAGGACACTGCTGCACAAATGAACTTTTTTTCAAGATTTTCAAATTTGTTCTCAAGAGAGAGGAAAGAATTCAAAATTTAAATCCATTTCTGTTGATGGAGTATGACGAGAAGACACCATTAAAACCAAGCACATCCTACAAATATTTTTTTTTCCCAATATTTATTCAGCATAAAGTTTACAGAATATTGCACAATTGTTTTAAGAAATAAAAGAAATAAGAGTATTTTAAAGAAGTTTATTGTGTTTATTTAATCATTTATTTGTGACTGAAAACAGAACGTAGGTCTTGAATGCTTTTTTGTTCTTGTATTAATTTTTGAAGTTGGTCGATTTTTGAAATTTCTTGAATCTGTTTAAATATTTGAGTTAAACACATTTTTCATTACTCTCAGCTCATGTCTTCTTCGTGTTATTTTTGTCTAAATCTGCATTCATGCCTCTAAAAACCCGATTTTGAATGTAAATAATTATTTTTGTTGACAAAATGTGCCATTGCTTTCTACGACAAAAAGCACACAAATTTTAAAATTCCTCAAAAAATTTCGCACAAATTTCAACATTTGAAAACAGCTGATTTTGAAATCAATTTTTAAAGTACTTCCAATGACTTTACTTTAGCAGAAACTTTTTAAAACGATAAAGCAATAAAGAAAAAACGTTTTTCAACTCTGATAGGGTAAGAAGAAGCATTAGTTGAGTCCAAATAATTGCAAAGATGAAAACTTTAATTTTGTATGGGATTTTGAATAATTGAAGTTAAGAGCTTGAAGAACGTTCAAGACAATCCAAAATGAAAAAGAAATGTTTGAACAACTGCATTACAAATACCTGCATACAAATTTTTATTATAAATGGCTTATTAGTGATGATTTACATTTTATTTGAGTGCACAAATTTCAACATTGCACAAATTTCAACATGGTTTACCCTAGTTTCTTTTATTATAAATTATAATAAATATTTGATGACATTTAAAAGCATGTTTCAAAGTAAAAGCATTATGATATACATTTTTATTTTTATTATCTCTCCTGTCCTTATTTTCCGCATTGTAATGTCTATTTTTTTATCCTAATCAATCAATTGAACTAAATTAAAATATTTTCCTCTTTTTCGCTCATTTTTTTTATATTTTTAAATATAGTTATTAAGGTAAATCGTTTTATAGTTTTGAGTTCTTTTTGTTGCCATTTATGCTTGTAACATTATTTGTTGTAAAAAAAATATGCTCATCAAAATCAATAATTTGTTTTATTAAAATTTCACCCGAGAACAGTTGATTATCAGCTTGTATTAAAACGAAAAAGTTCGAATACAGGTAAAAACATGTTGTAGACAATTACCATAAAACATCCAATGGTATTGAGAGTAGTGTGTAAATAAAAAAAAATGCAAATACTTGTTTAATGATTAATTGACAAGGGTGATTGCCAAACTGATGACTTATCATCTATTATATCTTTCATTCGTTCAAGTTGTTATTTGAGTCAAATTATTTAATCACGTTGATGTGGACAACATTTCAGATAATGTCGTTACCAATGGAGCTATTGTTGTTGTTGTGGTCGAAGATGCTGCTGCTGTAGCATTAACGATTCTCCAGGCCCAATCTGGGAACTCGCTTAATTCAGGATATACAACAGCACCCCAGCTATTAAAGCAAAACAAAAAAATATTATGTTAAAAATATTAACAATTTGAGTTCAAGTATAAACCTAATACTTACGTTGGGAATGTAGCCCATACAGTAATTAATGTAAAGATAGTTGGTCCAATACCGGCTACTGCCATATCTTTTGTTCTAATGTTCGCAATTCCAGCCACAATTGCATTAGGCGGAGTTCCAACAGGCATATGGAAAGCAAAGCAACAACTCAAAGCTGCAGGATACATCAACATCATTGGATGAATTCTAATTGCAAGAGCCATTTCTGCAAGAACTGGTAAGATGACGTTGGCAATAGCGACATTTGAGGTAAATTCAGTAAGTGTTTGACAAACAACGCAAATCAGGAACAACAAAACAAGGAAATGGAAATCTTGGAAAACTTGTAAACTTTTTCCCAACATGCGTGACATTCCTGATACTTTTCCACCTTCAGCAAGAGCAAATCCACCTCCAAGCAAGAAAACAAGGGACCTATGAATTTATATAATATCGGTTAGAAACATCTACTTGCAACAAAAGTGAGTATGTTAATTACCATGGAGTCTTAGTGTTAATGTACTTCCATGTAAGTAATGGCCCAGTAGCTGATGTTGGTAATTGCTTATTTGTTGATTTGAAGAATCTAAAACATTTCCAATTCGCAGGGAACATGAAGAAAGCAATGACGACTAAAATAGCTGGAGTTGCATCCTTAACTTTACTATTAATAATTAAAAGAAATAAATGAATCCATCATATATTATTGAAAACAATTAAATATGCTTACACGTTAAGATGCAAGAGTTCAGGCCAGCCAGGCATGAAACCAGGAGCACGTAAGAAGAAAAGTGCAACAGCAACAATGAATAAAATAGCAACACCCAATTCATGAGAGGTAACAGGTCCCAATTCCTTATAACGTCTTTCAATGACTTGACGTGCTACTTTTTCACCTTCTTCTCCAATATCAGCTTCCTTTGCTTCTGGACTATTAGGACGGAATAATCCCATATACAGCCACTGAAGATAGACCCAAGTTAGGAGGGTAAATACCAACATTCCGGGAACATCTTAATTTAATTTTAAAAAAAATCTGTTGTGGCAATGTGTTTAATTAAATGATATAAGGAAACTTACTATAGAACATCCATTTTGGGAAATCAAGACCAGGTGCTTCTGGGAAAGTTGCTTCATAAATACCTTTGAATGTCAAGTTGACACCTGAGCCAACAATTGTACCGACACCACCTAGAATAAAATCATAACAGTTAAGATAAATCATTTTTATGACATTTTTATCACAATCAATGTCAATTTTTATATTCACACCGTTTTCACAGTTCAGATTGAAAAATCAGTTTTTCGCATTTTGTGAGAAAACAAAGCAAAATTGGTTATGAAAGGTCACAGAAGAAAAGTTTGTGCCTGAAATTTTACATCATATTCAAAAAACAGATTTCAAATTGGTTGTGGCATTGCTGAGAAAATCGCAAAATACGCTTTCTGTAAGCAAACAAGCAAGCAAGTAAGTTAATCAGCAAGAAATCTCAATAACGAGACATCGTAGAGACTTCTAGTTTTTTACATTTGATCCGTGCTGCTCTATAGAAGAGCTGTATTGTTTTTGGGCAAGGTAGGAACAGCCGTTGCTTCAGAAATGGCAAAAGCTAATTTTTGATCGATTTATCATACAACTTTTACTATTACATAATTAATTTATATTCAGTTAATTGTCATTTGATTACACCAACTGCAATTGCAGTGCCATCTATATTACATTCATTGTTATTATAATTATTATTACTTCAACTGTTAAATATTCATATTTAGATTGGCTTTAATAAACTTAACTTAACTTAACTTAACTTAAAAAACTTTCCTTTCTTACGAATTTTTTAAAACAAAAGTTGACTGTGATTTTTATAAAATTCAACTTTGGATGAAAATTTTTTTTAAAAAACTTTTAAAGAATATTTGGCATATTCGTCAAGCTTTATACCTTCAAACTTATGCTGAGCGTAGCTCAGCTGACACTCTAGCTTTATATCTTCAAACTTATGCTGAGCGTAGCTCAGCTTACGCGATAGCCCGAACATACAAAGAGCATGCTCAGAAAAGTGAGCATATAAGTGAGTCTACTCAAAAAATGTACTCATGCAAGCTTATTCAACTGAGCATGCTCATGAGAATATTATGAATGTGCTCACTTAAATTTTTTACAAAAACTTTATAAGCTCACGTGAGTGCATTCAATAAGTATACTCTTGAGAATATTAAGAACATACTCATGTGAATTCACTCATATGAGTTCACTTACTGAATATACTCATGAGCATATAATGAGCAAGCTCACTTCTGTGTCACACAATTTTTTTATATTCTCATATGAGTGCACTTACTGAATGTACTCATGAGCATATAATGAGCAAGCTCACTTCTGTGTCACACAATTTTTTATATATTCTCATATGAGTGCACTTACTGATTGTACTCATGAGCATATAATGAGCAAGCTCACTTCTGTGTCACACAATTTTTTATATATTCTCATATGAGTGCACTTACTGATTGTCCTCATGAGCATATAATGAGCAAGCTCACTTCTGTGTCACACAATTTTTTTTTATATTCTCATATGAGTGCACTTACTGAGTTTATTCAAGAGCAAATTGTGTACGTTTTCGATTTAGTTGACATTTTTTTAAAAAACGTCAGCTACCTTAGAAAATCATTATTTGAGATTTTTTAAAAAAATGTCAGCTAAATCGAAAACGTTAAAAAAATGATTTTTTAAGGAAGCTGACGTTTTTTAAAAATGTCAGCTATATCAAAAACGTTAAAATAATGATTTTTTAAGGAAGCTGACGTTTTTTAAAAATGTCAGCTAAATCAAAAACGTTAAAATAATGATTTTTTACGGAAGCTGACGTTTTTTAAAAATGTCAGCTAAATCAAAAACGTTAAAATAATGATTTTTTACGGAAGCTGACGTTTTTTAAAAATGTCAGCTAAATCAAAAACGTTAAAATAATGATTTTTTAAGGAAGCTGACGTTTTTTAAAAATGTCAGCTAAATCAAAAACGTTAAAATAATGATTTTTTAAGGAAGCTGACGTTTTTTAAAAATGTCAGCTATATCAAAAACGTTAAAATAATGATTTTTTAAGGAAGCTGACGTTTTTTAAAAATGTCAGCTAAATCGAAAACGTTAAAATTGGTGCTCAATAAGATTCAAACTTCAAAGAACTTAGATCGCCTGTAAAAATATAATAATTTAAGTATGTGTTATGCCATATGAAAATTATTATATATTTACAGACAATAGCTCCAAGGAAAAGTGTGAGACGACAGAAGTTAAGCAACGCAGCAGATATTTCAACAAGGATGGGTGACCAGATTTATATGTTTTCTTCTAAGTATTTGAGATAAAATATTAATAATAATTTCTAACTCTTTCAAAATTATTCACAGAAATTCAAAGAAATAAACGGAACAGTACTTGATTTCAGCTAACCTATAATATTCAAATTTAGCTTAATTAATTTTTTGAATTTTGCAACTTCACTTGAGTGCACTCATGAGTGTGCTCAGATGAGCATATACTCATAAATATACTCACTGAGCATATATCTTTTGAGTATCTTCATGAGTATAAGCTCTTTGAGAATATTTATGAGTATATGCTCTCTGAGAATGTACATGAGTATATTCAATAAAAATGTTACATGAGAAAAATGTTGCATGTGACATGTTACCTTCTCATTTGAGTATGCTCATGAGTTTGCTCAATGATCTTATTACATGTCACATAGGAATGTGCTCACTGAGCATGCTCAAGAAGGTACCGTAAGCGCATCACTGAAATGTATGAAAATGAGCACATTCTCACAAAGGCTAATAGGCTCACAAATAATGTGCTCTGAGCATGCTCATTGTATGTTCGGGTAGCTTTATAACTTCAAACTTATGCTGAGCGAAGCTCAGCTGCCTCTCTAGCTTCATATCTTCAAACTTATGCTGAGCGTAGCTCAGCTGACACTCTAGCTTTATATCTTCCAACTTATGCTGAGCGTAGCTCAGCTTACGCGATAGCTTTATAACTTCAAACTTATGCTGAGCGAAGCTCAGCTGCCTCTCTAGCTTCATATCTTCAAACTTATGCTGAGCGTAGCTCAGCTTACGCGATAGCTTTATAACTTCAAACGTATGCTGAGCGAAGCTTAGTTGACTTATCAAGCTTCATACCTCCATACTACTGATGGGCAAATCTTGGTCTATCCATAAGACTTATGATAGTACGGTGTGAATATAATCCGCATTGGGTTTCTACCCGATACACTAGTTTATATCAAGCGAATTGTGGTCAGTTATATCAACGCTATGGTACTTCAAAGTAAAGGAATGCGAAGCATTCAATGCTCTACTGACTCATATAGCCATCAAACTTAATAAAGACAGACATTACAAAGTACTCCATATCAATATGTACATTTTTTATGGTGCTTGTTTGATATATTAAACATACGAATATTTCTTTTATGGCTTTCGTTTCTCGATGTTTAATAAAATAAATAAGTTTAATTTTTTTTTTAAAAGTAAGGCAAGCATTTGGTTGCATTTTGTAAGTGTTAGTTTAACTCTTTGATGGTAATTGACTAGATTTTTTTTTCGCACGTATAGCATTTTGGGATATTTACTTTATCTTTGACACGAGGTATGATCAAGTTACATAAAAAAAGAAATTATTACCTAATGTAGCTGCATAACTTGCACCTACAAAGTAACATGTTGTTGTCTTTGAGGGCATTGGAGGTTCTTCATCTTCCTTATTGCTTATCATTCCTTCTTCTTCATTTGCCTTCTTTTTGTCTTGATACATTTTACAAATTCCTTGACGTTCCAATTCTTCAAGAACGGCTTGCACTGTAAATATTCAAATAGTACGCAATTAAAATGGGATAAATTGTTTATGGCTGAAAATACGTACTAATTGGACACATCATTGCGATTGCAGCAGTATTTGAGATCCACATTGAAACGAACATTGTTACTGCGGTTAAACCAAAATTTAATCGACGTTGACTGCATCCAACTATTGAAATGACTTTTAAAGCCACACGTTTGTGCAAATTACAGTATTCCACTGCTTGTGCAAGGATCAAACCACCAATAAACATGACCATTGTTTCTTTCATGTACATCATGCACACACGATCAGTATCGAGGATATCCATCACTGTAGCATATTAGAATAACATGTAAATTATCAAGTAAATTTAAGGTTGTAGTTAAATACATCTTACATGGAAAAGCAACCATTGGAATCATTCCAGTAATTGGTAAAGGAATTGCTTCAGTAACCCAATAAATTGTCATCTATGAAGAAAAAATACCCGGTGTTTTTTCAACTTACAAATTTAATTGTTCTAAAGTAGATAACATACCACACAGACAATATAGAGACATCGATATGCTTTGACTAATTCTGGATCTTCATTGGTCAACATTATTGGCAAAAATAACAATGGAGCAAGAACAACAGTTAAAGATCTCCAGTAAGCTCCCAAAAATCCACAAAGACGTTGTTTTGGGGAATAATTCCTTGTTCGTTTTGTTCTGTTAATAAATTTTGGATTTAGTTTTAATTTGTTATTAGATTAGATATAAAGCAAATTTAAAATCTTACGGTAAAGCCTCATCCCCATTCTGATCGTGCTGAAACTGTTCCATTTTTTTCTTCCCTGGATCTTCGGGACTCGACATGATTACGTTATCTTATGGTCTTAATATCAATAGTTAGAAATATGAATAATGAGAAAAATCGGCAGTAACAAAAAAAAATCTGCAAATACAAAATAAAACATACGAAATTATTAAGCAAATTGCCATGTGGTATTATAAAACAGGCATCATATATGAAACTGTTCCCGAGTAGCACCAACAACAACAACTGGTTTTACGTCGACGTCAAGGCACCATCAAGTAGAAAAAAGCACGTCGCGCCGCAAATTTACCGTTGTGGCAACGCTAAGGCATCTACACGCACGATTTTGCCCCATTTGAACAATGAAATAATGGGGCGAAATCGTGCGTGAAGAAGCCTTAGCGTTGCCACAACGGTAAATTTGCGGCGTGACGTGCTTTTTTCTACTTGATGGTGCCTTGACGTCGACGTAAAACCAGTTGTTGTTGTTGGTGCTACTCGGGGTTTCTATAGTTCTTTTTTTCTTTTATAATTCAAAGAAGCATCATCAAAGCGTTCAAAATAACCATTCGAATTGACTTTGATCAAAGGTTCAAGGATCATTGCTTTAAAAAAAAGTATTGGGATTAATAAACGATCGCTAATTTTGATTTTATTAAAATTCTTACATGTTTATCAAAGTTTCATTACATAATGCTTAAATTAAGTTTAAAAAATAATTAAAACGATTTTTAGAAATGCTTTATCTTTGCTGCTTTCCAGCACTCAAAGTTGTTTGCATCTTTGTTTCATAATTGTTTTAATATTTATTTTTTGAGCAAATAAAAATGATCTCAGTGTGATTTGACATAGAGTTCTTAATAGTTTTAAATGCTTGTTGTATTTGCAAGAATCAAATAAGTTCAATAGTATATCCAATTAATTGCAAACTATAAGGTAGTGAAATTCCAATGAAAAGAATAATATGTTTGTAGAGTCAAAAGGTAATACATATTAAAAATATTTCCAGTCCTATTCATAATGCAGACTTTTAAAAATAATTTACTATTTACATACACATTTTCATATCACATGCTTCTTATCCGCAATAGCTAGCTTTATGTATTACGCAATAACATCACTAATGCAATTTAATGCCTCGCATGTTATCACATTGTTACTATATATTCTGATTTTTGATAAATCGAATGTTGACTTTGAAACAAGTTGATAAAGATAAAAAGCAATTTGAAAATTAACATTGTGAATGTAGAATACAAACAAACAAACATGCCTTCTAAAAGCTGGACTTGAAACGATAAATTCTGATTTAATTAATTTATATTCATAACGTCACGTGTTTAACAAAGTCAATGATCATTAATCGAAGGACATTTATTTAAGAAAAAAAGAATGGGAATTTAATTTAAGAATATTTTGATGGTGATAAAAAGAAGAACTTTATTAAAATGGGGCCATTCACTTATTACATAACGCTTTTAGGGGGGGAGGGGGGTCTAAGATTTTGTTACGGTTCAAACAAGGAAATTTTTTTTTCATACAAATTTTGTTACGAGGGGGGGGGGGGGGTCTAAAAAGTCATTTTTTCGCGTTACGTAATAAGTGAACAGCCCCAATGTCTATCGCCAACCAAGAAATCATGAATATTAAATTTGTCTCCTCGCATCAAAGATAACAATTTTCAATGAGGAAAAGTCACATGAATAAAATAAAAAAAAAGTATTTTTGTCGCCAGATTCTACACAAAGTTTCAAAAAGAAGCATCATACGTACATCCCAATACAAAAATAACACATCTCTGTAATAAGTGAGAGTGACTATGAATTACTGTTGGACAATGTTCAAAAATTTAGTCTTACATCAAATTTGCAGTAAGTAATCATATGTTCTTCAAGATCTTTTCTCTACAAACAAAACAAAAAAAAAAAATACTTTTCTCCCAGTTCTATATTTAATGTATGTATTATTGCTTTATTTTTAGCTTTTTTCAAATAGCCTTCAAATGTTTTCTTCTATTGATTTCATTTTTCTCTCTTTCAAGTGCGAAACCAAAATATGTTATTCACGTGGTTCTCGCTCCTTTCGTCATCAAATCTGTTGCGAAAGATGCTTTATTTTTACTCATGCGATGCGCTTATCGTTCAACAATTATTTCATGCATTATCAAGCCTGACAGAAACTTGATATTTACATATTTCCAATATAGTAGTTGTGACCTCAGTATTTAATGTGTGCGTTAGATTTTCTTTTATTTTCTTGCTTCTTTTGTTATGCGGCGATTGAAATGATAAAAAAAAAGTTCAAGAGATCGACGAGTGATTTGAAATTAAAATTATAAACGAAAGTAAAACTGACGATAGAGGAATTAAAAAGGTTCTAATAATATTTAGCGCTTATCACCAACTTATGTCAATCTGTTCTTTTAAAGACAGTTGTTATGTTGATATTTTTTGTGTTTATTTTATTTTACTTAAAGGTTGTTGTTATGTATGATTATGTATGTAGGCCTCTGGTGCAATTTGAGATAAGGCTTATAAATGATTCCCTTAACGAGTTTTTAATCATTAATGAAACTTTCTCCCAACCAACATAAATTCAATTACACATGTTAACGGGAGCGAATCGATAATTGGTTCAAATATTTCTGTTATGGTTTTAATTGATCATCACTTGACTTTCATTAAATGCGTTCAATGATATAGTTTTAAGTGACCACTATAAATTCAATGACTTCTTGATATCTAACTATTCAAACAACAATTTATCACTGTCTTCTTAAATCAATTGAATTAGAGGCTGGCTCAATTTAGATATTAGAGTCAAGGTCACGAGCAATCAGTATCTTCATCACTTGCACTAGTTTTGATTTTACTTTCTGTACTATGATAACATTCACGGAACGGAATGTGTAGAATTTTTCTTTTTTTTCATTCATTCATTCATTCATAAATATTACTGTGCTCTATATATAGAAGAGTATTATCCAATGCATTTTTATTGATTTTAAAATATGAAAATTCTTAGCGGTAAGTTTAGAATTACTACCAATATCATCTCTCTGACAAGCAAGTAGTCAGGCACCAACGTCATACGTGCGCACAAAAGAACAAATATTATGTAATGATTATTCATACAATGAGTTCACAGCAAGTTCTCGTCAAGTCATAAACTAAAGACTTCAGGATTTCTATATTTTAAGAGCACCTTTTTCAGCGCCAAAAAAAAATATATTCAGAATAACGTATATCCATACTTTCGAATTTTTTTGACCTTTAAATCACATTGTTCCCATTAAAGAAATTGAATAGTAAAAAATGCTTAAGTTATCTTTGGAACTTGTACGCTACAACTTAGAAGATAGCTGAATTGGAAGCCTGTTTCGCGATACGAAATCATGTGAAAGTTTTGTGTAGAAGCAAACTGCGAGCTCACAATTTTAATCTTAATCTCAATAGATAAAGCATTTTAAACCATTTTAATGAGAATACACAGCTAATAATTTAATTTTTAATAATTATGATTTTTTTGACTCTAGCACACTTCAATACAAACGAAACGTGCTAGCTTAATTAACACTAGTTATTAGATGTTTTAATTTAATTTAATAGACAAATATATCAACTCGTGAAATATTCAGGCTTTACCGAAATGCAATAATAAATTTCATAATTTGAAATATTATAAATAAATAATTCAGGTAGGAAGGAATATGTGACGTAAACATCTAAATTGCCTTTCCTTTGGATACGTGATTTCATTCAAAAAAATTTCGGTTCTCTTCCTTCATTTATTTCGGCGATTCGTAAAGAAGACAAAAAAAAAAATACTATATAAAAAACCGCCTCAATGTTCCAAAAATTCCACAATTACAATTTAATTTCCATGATTAATCGGTCATTGGGAACATAAATTTTACTCACTTATTGTCAATGTGTGTTAACAACTTCCAATCTTTTATTTTAACACATTTTGTCGCAACAAAAAATTAAACTTTTTAAATAAATGCAAAAGATAACCAACGATGTTGCAAGATAACTTACTTCTGAATAAAATATAGTGTGACTCTCTCTTTCCTTCCTTAAATTGTTGTAGCGGCTGCTCAATTCCTCCCTTTCGAAAAATGTAATGTTGCAGACATAAAAATTATTTCTCGTTTTGTGTATTATTCGTTACATTTTTTGAACTTATCATTTTAAATTATAAACTATGTTTATAGTTTAATAAAAATTGTTTTTAAAAAATTAATGTTAATTGACTTGGTGGATATTTTAAGTTAATAAAACTTTACCGAGCATTTACACTAGTTTTTAAAAATAAAAAGGCAGTTGTAGATTTCAATAAAAAGTATTTAATTTTTTTTTTAAGGTTTATTGTTATGAATGTCATCTTACTTCCCATGCAATAAAAAACCAAAAGTTTAATCTCATTTGAAAGTTTATTAACAAAGTTCCATAAAGTTTATGTATTTATATAAAGTTTCCAAAAGAATGTCTCCAAACCATAAGTCTATTAGTTTTAAAAGATTTAACTTCGCTACAAAAAAATCACAACTTAATCATCAGTCAAACATCAAACAGCATCAAGCAAAGTTTGAAGTAATCAAATAATAAAAAAGAAATTATTTTTTGATATTTTAAAATCAAAGTAAAAATTAAAATTTCATTGATAAATTTTCGTGATTGAAACTTTAATTGACGTAACGAACATTGCCAACTGAGCAAGTTTATGAACAAGTAAGTGAGCAATACATTTTATATCTCGCACATTTTTTCATCAGTGATATTTTTTTAAAAGAAAAATTGACTATTGAATTATACATTTGAAATTTTTTTTAAAATTAGTGTAAAATGATCATTCAGTAAAATTTATATTCAGTTTATGCAAAAAATCAACAAAATATATTAATTTAAGAGCTTTAAATGTGATTGAAAAAGTTGGACATCAATTTTATTTCACCAAGATTGCTCATTAAAAAAGTATGTAAAATTTTTTAATTCACGTTACTTTTTTCCTTTCTGCATGTGTGACTTAGACTACATAAAATCCTCCAAGGTTATACTCCATAATTTTTTTTTTTGAATGATAATCTTGAAGAAATTGATTAAATTAAAAAAAAATTATTGGGAATTTAAGAATAGAAGAAGAAAAAAGGTTAAAATATGCTTAAAATTTCATTTATGACTGCATAGCATTGATTTCTAACATTTTAAGATCATAAAAGGAAAGTAAAAGTTGGCAAAAATCGACGTTTTCAAATTTTGTCTCATTTTTTACATCATTCAATTATCAGCAATTGGCTGATAACGAAAATATGTTTTTTATAGTCAAATTTTTCACAAAAAAATAATTTTTTAACACATTTAAAATTTTAAGAAAAAAAAGCAAGATATTTTCCTTGCACTCAAATCATTCATTTTCATTGTATTAGTATTTTTGCACGTTGATCCAGATATCTTTATATCTTTCGTTACGAAGTAAATGGTGATTTAACGTTGAGAAAAAAAAATCATGTTTGTATGTATGTATGTATGTGATTTAAGCTTCTTATTATCAATCTCAATATTATTACTTTTGGTTTGATCACCTCGCCTTTCTAAATTTTTTTTAACATTACTTTATGCTTTAATTGGTTTCAATTATGAACATTACTGGTAACTGTGTCATACTCGAGATCCTTTGTGTACTTTTCATATTTTTCCCATTTTTCAAAAAATTATGAATCTGAAATAAAAGTTCGATTGCATCCATGCTTCTTCTTTAATGACTGACTACTTTTACACTTGTGTGAAATTTTGTATCAATCATATAAAGCTTCATAAAGTATAAATTATATAGCAGTTTAAAAATTTTTCGTTAGACATAAAGAAGAAGAATAAACGACAATGTAATCTAATTCCAAATTTTTCTTAAATTTAAATTTTAGACACTCTTCATGCTGAAGTAATGACCGGTATAGATGTTAACATCAAAAAGTTTATAAATTAATATTCAAAAAAGTCAAATTTGCTTTTGTATACCATCATGGATCAAAGTTCGGAAGAAATTGCTCAAACTTTTGAGATCATCGACAAAGCAGAAGCAATGCCTGATTCTGTGTGCGAGAATGATAGCACGAACAATAATGAAATATCAACATCTGACATTCAGCCAAGTCAAACAACAAATGGCGAAAATGATGACGATAATAACAACAAAATTTCCAACAAAAAATACTCAAGAGATCAACTAATACAAATGAAACAAATTTCCTCAACTTTAATTCCAAATCTGAAGAAGGAAGTAAAAAATCTTCTGTTCAAAGAGACATCGGAACTTGATAACACATTGAATCGAACATATCGAAATGATGCCACGATGCCAAATTTTGTGAACAATCTACAAAATCGTCCATATCAGAAGCAGAGATCTACTGAGTCTGGACGAAGATCGCAGCAAGGTAATCGTCCTCCAATCACAATTCGATTGCAGTCAAATGAAGAAATTAAATTGAATGAATCGAAAAATGCATGGAAACCTCAAAATTTGGCAGTCAAAGCTTCCGAACGATCAGAAGAAGAGCTTAAAACAGATGAATTAATCAAACAATTTAGAAGCATCCTTAACAAGTTGACCCCGGAAAACTTTTCCACTCTCGTTGAAAAACTCAAAGTTTTGCACATTGACACTGTTGATCGTTTGGATACGTGTATTTCACTGGTCTTTGAGAAAGCTATAACTGAGCCTAATTACGCTTCTAGTTATGCTTTATTATGCAAGCAAGTCGCCGATGTATTCATTGTGCCATTAGATCCCAATAATACTCAGCAGAAGGCTGTTTTTAAGAAACGATTAATATCACAATGCCAACGTGAGTTTGAAAAGCATCGCGATAATGAACTGATAAAGAACACTGCCGAACGTTTGAAAATGATTGAAGAAGAAGAGGATCTGGTCAGAAAGGAAGAGATGAAGCAAGAATTTTATTTTGAAAGTACTAAAGTTAGAAAACGTGCTGTTGGAACTGTACACTTTATTGGTGAACTCTACAAGATTGAAATGTTAACGTCAAAAATCATGCGATTATGTATAAGTCATTTATTGGACTCGTCTATGTGCAGTGAAGAAACTTTGGAATGCTTATGCAAATTGCTCGATACTGTTGGTAAACGATTGGAAAAATTGGATGCAAATAAAGTTGACTTATCGGACTGTTTTGCAACATTGGAAAAACTAGCTGATAAAAAGAATCCTATCGGAATCAGTTCAAGAATACGATTTATGATACAGGACGTAATTGAATTAAGATTAAATAATTGGACTCCGAGAAAAATTCATAAAGAGAACAAACCGTTAACCATGGATGAAATTAAGCAGCAGGTTATTTTGGAACAAGCTATAAAGGATATGGATAATAAAGATTCGATTCGTGAATCACATGATAGAGGCAATCGCCAAAATCAGAGACGTACTGGAGCAATAAATGAAGAAGGTTGGAGCACACCTTATTCAAAATCACGACCCGTTAAATTTGATCCTCTAAAACTTCCAACAAATGCAAGCGATGATATTAAATTGGGGCAGCCTTCAAATTTCCAAAGTTTTAGTAACTTTCAAAGTAATAGATTTGCAGGCCTTAAAGAAGAAGACCAGTTTCAAGAGCAATCAAACAGAAATTATAATGGTCGTTTCAGTGGTGGAAATCCAAATATGAACAATCAAAATCGCAATAATACATTTGATAACCGTAATAACCGTAATAATAATAATAATAATAATAATAATAACAATAATAACCGTGGAAATAATCGTACAGCAGGATCTAAAAGCCTTCAAGCATCATCGCTTCAAGGAAATCAAGGAAAGTTTGGATCTAGTCGTAATACAAATAATGTTGAAAGACACCGGAATCCAAGCATGCAATTCTTTAACCGTCAAAGTGATCTTCCAATGAAAGGATCAAATACACTGCCACGAAAAATTTCTGCCCCAGCTCGTCCAATGCAATATTCAGATGCATTTATACAAGAAAAAACCCTCATAAATGATCCGGAAAAAGTTTTGAATATCACAAAGTCTTCCATAAAAGGATATCAACAGAAAGAAATTACAATGGAAGAAATAATAGAAAACCTTCGCAAATTCAAAATTAATAAAGATTCACTACTTCGAATCTTTAATTGGGTTTTTGATCATCACGATAATGAACGTTTAACTCTATCCGAAATTGTATGTGAAGCAGTTTGCAGAAATGTCGTAATGGCTAAAGAATTGTTAGATGCATTGAAAGAAATTATCGAACTTGCGCAGGACTTAGTTTGCGATTTACCACTTGTTTATAGTTATATTGGTCAATTATTAGCTCTTCCTTTAGCAAAAAGAATAATTTATTTCAAAGATTTAATGGAAATTTCAAAATCACAAATTGAAACGAATAATGGCGAAGTTATACTCAAAAACGTTTTTCGAATCATTGAACAGCAGCATGGAAAGGATTCTTTCGTTGAGCTTTACAAAGAAGCTAACATAGATTTCCAGATGTTCTTAGATCAAGAAACTAAGTTAATTGATTTCCTCAATACAAATGTAAGTCATTCGACTTTTTAAAATAATTTCAAATCATTTTACCAAAAATAATTTTAATTTTCACAGAATTTTGGTTATTTGATACAAGAGGTAGCACCAGAAACTGTAGCGTTTGATGAAGAATTGAAGAAAACACTTGAAGAAAAAATGAATGCAGAGTCAGATGTTGAAGCAATTATCTTGTGGATAACCGTAAGCTACAAATACTTTTTTTATTTCTTCTTTTTACGTTTGATATTAATTCGAATTATTTTATTAATATCTCAACAGAGCAATATCAAAGAACGTGATAATTCTTTCATTCGTGTTTTAATGGAGCTGATCTTAAAACGAAGCATTGAAAAGCTTCCAGACGGTTCATATAAATTGGAACGTGAAAAGCTTGATATTGGTGCATCCTTGCTAACCCAGTTTGTTGAGAAAAGTAAAGATAAACAGATTGAATGTCTCAAGGTCATACATCACTTTATGAACGAATTAGAACATCCAAGTGGCTGCCTAAATGATATTTTATCATGTCTGTATGATAATTTTGCATTGTCAAAGAGTGCATTTTTCAAATGGCATGACGACAGTGATCCCCTTGAGCAAGAAGGAAAAGGTAAAGTTAAAAACTTTGAAATTCAAATCCAAGATAATAAACAATATTTTCTTCTTATTTAGGTGTTGCTCTAAAAAGTATCCACCCTTTTATTCAATACTTGAAAAATGAAAAGGATGACGATGAATCTACAGGCGATGAAAACTAATTATTCTTCATATTTTTATGTAATTTTATATGCTAATTATATACATATTCTGTTTATTTCATATACGATGTAAAAAATTATCAGCTTTCCTTGTTATTGAAAACAATTGCAAAAATAATAATATTCAATATCTAATAATTCATAACTTAACTTCCTTTTCTTTTTTTTTCTTTTAAAAAAAGCAGTATACAAGAAATGATTTTTAAAGAAAGAAAAAAAAATACTGTAGATTTTTTGGTGTTTTTAATTTTTTATCTTTCATTCTTTTTACTAAAACAAGTGTCCTTAATTGGAAGAAAGTTTTTCTTTATCATAACAAAAAAAAAAATTGTGACTTTGTCGTGAAGATTGAATATGCTTTCGAAAATGTCATCGATTTAATATTTTTTTTTTCTTTGAAATTATACATATTTACACATAATATTGCATCACTAATCATTAAAATCATACATACAATTACTTTTTGCTTTTTCATTCGGGGACTGATATATTGATATATTGATAGTAACGATAAATATTCAAAAATATTGTTTTTGTTTTTTTTTCTTATTTCTATATGATTTTGATTTTTTTTTATTTTAATAAAGGCAAACGCATTGAGTTGAAATTTTGGATTCTTATATTTTCTTATTCTTATCAAAATTATTAAATGTAATTTTTCCAGACATTCGATTATTTTTTATCACATTTGAAAAAAAATACTCAAAGTTTACAGCTTTTATCAAGACAAAAATACTGTTCATTTTTATTATGGAAAAACCAGTGAATTTCATATCGATTACAAAAAACATATATTCTAGCATTAAAAGGGACCATTCACTTATTACGTAACGCTTTTAGGGGGGGGGGTCTAAGATTTTGTTACGGTTCAAACAAGGAAATTTTTTTTTCATACAAATTTTGTTACGAGGGGGGGGGGGGTCTAAAAAGTAATTTTTTCGCGTTACGTAATAAGTGAACAGCCCCAAAGATATCAGTTCAATCATTTTGATGACGATTTTTCAAGATACTAGATATGATAAATTTTTCATTATTGTGCCTTTAAAATTTACTTAAAAAATTAGAGAGGTTCAAATTTTTCAATGTGGACTATAAACAGAGAAATGTTTGGGGGTTGTAAAGAGTTTTTTAAACCAACATATTCAAAGACACAAGCTAGTGAAGGAAAATCCTTTCATGTCTATACATATCAAATATTGGTTATTATATAACATGTTCTTAGATTGAGACTATCCATTTTTAAAAAGGCAGCCATTTCACATGAAATCATCATTATTATTGTTAATTAAAATTGTTTTTAAAGCAAAAGGACCACACATTAAGGTAAGTACAAGAAAATTAATTATTAGACCATTTTGGATCATAATTAAACTTGAAACAACTAAATTTTAATGAATGTCCATAACTGAGGAGTTTGCTTTAGATTTTTCTTATATTTTAAAAGTTTATTTTTTTGTAGATTCATCACAACAGAGTTAAATAGAGATACTGATTTTAATGCTTTAAAGATTATGATCAATTTTAATCATTGAAACACTACTAATTTTGAATTACAGTTTTTCTTATGAATGATAATTAAAGCTAAACTTAAACTAAGCTTTTGAAGAATTTTGTTGAAAGATTTAAGTAAGTTCAATGATGCTCAAAATGTTTTTAAGACAATTGCATTATTTTAGAACTTTTACAAATTTGATGAACCAAAAAAAAAAACAATTTGGATGTAAAGCTTGACGAAAAACAAATAGTTGATATCATCATGCTTTGCTCAAATGTAAAATTTATAAAAAAAATTAAATCACAAAATATAAAGTTTAGAGAAAGTCAATCGAAATGTTTTCATTAATTTACTTTGAGATTGTTAAAGAATCGCTTTAAGAGTATTTTTAAGTTTCATTAATGAGTAAATAAATAAGTGATGTGTACATTATTCCGTAAGCCAAACGTTGAGGGGCACACTTGAGAAAACAATATCCAAAAATTTCTTGAAAACTTTCCCTAAACTTTGAGAAGCTGGTTGTCTCATCTCTTGAACTAATTCGTGAGCATTTTGATTCAAGAATTGGTTAATGACTTCATCTGGAGAAATTAAAAAAATTTTTGAGAATGTGTTTATTGAAATCGATAAAAATCATACTTAATTGTTGATGTCCTTGATCTTTCACTTTAAATCTTGCACTTTTCATCACAAAATCAACGACTATCTTCTCGATGCTCATAAAAGCTTCATTGTTTCTAATAACTTGTTTTCCATAAATCTTTGCGATTGCATTGACGTCAGCTAGACATTAAATAATTTCATTATTTTCACAACAGTTCTGAAAATTGTCACATGTACTTACTAAATTCGGCAATAAATTCCCCATTTGACAGTATGGGAAGCAACAAAACTTGTCCATTCACTTCATATCGTCCTCTGGATTTAATTATTGGTATAAAAATTCCCAAGTCTAATCTGAATTTCTAATAAGGCAAATAAAATACGATAATTTAAATTATTTCCAATAAATGTTTAATTATCGATTCTTACGTTGAAATCACTACGAACTTCCTTAACAGTGAAATTTGATGCACCTGTGTTGACAACATTTGTAAAAAGTCCCTTAATGCGAATATTTCCTGCATTGTTTTCAAGTCCAAGTAAATCAATTTTTAATGGTTCCATTGGTGGAAGACCAATTTCAGGAATTCCAGAAATCAAGTACGGTTTGAGTCCATTAAAGGAATTTTTTAAGCACGTATTTAATTGTGGATCCTTCCGGCTACATTTTTGTATAAACGATGCTGCAAAAAAAAATATGCAATTAAGTTTCGGGTAAATTAGCAAGAATGTGCTTTCTATTAATTAATATTTTTTTGCAATGTTGTTGAATACCAGACAAAGGGGGCAATATAGCCTCTACCCATGTGTTTTTAAAGATATATTTGTTTTGAAGGTTTTCCGGTTTTTTTTTTATTCTAATCTGTACACAACTTACTTCCGACAGTTAATTATAATTCTGTTGTATATTATTTGTATTTAATTTGCAATTCTTTTAATTTTATCATGCCATAAAAAATAGGATATACCTAATCTTTATTATTTCGTTTGCATAAATGTACACACTTTATTTGAGACTTTACGGCAACACTCATGTGCATTACAGGTATTACGGATTGTAAGTAAAATTGTTTGGAAATACAATCATTAAATTAAAATCATTCAAAACTTCCTGCTTTGAACAATTTATTGTGTTAATTTATTTAAATTCACATATGTTAAAAACAAATGGCATCCTTGAAATTCCAACAGAATATTAATAAAAAATCTCAAGATAAAAACAAAAAAAGAGAGCCCTTTAGTGTGAAAGAATAGATAGACGCAAGCATTCAAAATGAAGTATGAATCACAAAAAAAATATTTTTGTTTTTAAAGTAGTTTCTGCAAGGTTACTAATATACATTTTATTAATACCTAATATCTCTTTGCCTTAATCTTTTTATTTTTTGCTAGCCGTGTCAAATCAACCTTGCTGACAGATTTTTTTTCGATTGTGTAGTTATTTTCAAATAGATCAAACGAATTTATTTTTATGCACTATTCAACAGAGTTCAATGCAAGAACGAGAAATATCATGCAGAACATTATTATAGCAGCGTATCGTGATAAGAAAACAACAGAATCTTAAATTTATGATTTTTAACATAACTATGTAAAGAAATAAAAGAAGAAGAAAAAAAAACATAAAATAACGAAGCATAATGCACAAAATCATCAAATCGACCTTGATTTCAATTCATGCTTCTTCTGTAAAATTAAAAATTTTAATAGACTTTTGGGTTTTGAAATTTGTAAAATCTCACGGGCAGATTGAGCAACATTACAGATAAATTATTTTATTATAATTGTAAAATGCTGTAGATTGCGAAATTTTCGACACATCCACAGTAGTTCTTCATAATTTAAGCATAATTTCTTAGTCTTAAGGTCGTAGTTATATTCGGTTCAGTAATTTCGTCTGAAGACTGATCAATGCTATAATTTAATTGCATAGTCTCATAGACAATTTTTGAATAGACATAGCCACAAAAAAAAAATGAATTATGAAACTCGGGGAATTTTGTGATTCACAATAGTCAGTGCAAAATAATGCATAAAATCGCGATGATAAGTTTGAATCTTAAGTATAAGCATTGCATTAAACTCTACAAGGTCACAATTATATTTTGAAGGCAAATATCGATGTGGGTAGAAAAATGGCAAAAGTGTGCGATCTTCAGTTTTCTTTAATAATTCGCAAATTTTCAATTACGAATTATCGCAGAAATATTAAATTAAATAAATATCATTATTCATTACTTCATCATTCACATGTAAAATTTATTGATTAATGAAAAAATGCGAAATATTGAGTTATGCAATAATTCAATGGTAGTCTGAAAATAAGCAAGTAAGTAAGTGTTTCAATACTTTTGCTGTGCATTTTTCTTGTATATATTCAAGATTTAATGTATACATATATATGAGATTCAGTGTGTATATGGCTGAAGAAAGAAGCATTACCTACTTTTTGTACACATAGAAAATTGCTTTCTGGTATTTTTAACATTTTTTTTTTGCAATACTCAATGAACATTTCTATGTAGCATGAGGAAATTCTTCTTTTTTTTACAAACATCACGGACGATTGATTCACTCACAAATGTGCACTTTTTCTTTCAATATTGATACTTACTATCGAAACTCTGTGATAGGACATATCCAAATAATGTTGTAGATATAATCCACTTGAAAGCAAAGCTTAGAGACATTTTTTTTAAAAAGCTTCTGTAACTAATTTAAGAACTTTAAAGAAACTTTTGACAATTTTTTTACACTTAAATTTTGAAAATAATTTATGATGTCACTATATTTCTCATTCTTTCTTTTAACTTTCAACAGCTGGAAAACTTAGAACAGTTGTCTCAAAACTTATTCGGTCACAAATACTCAACTTTTCGCAATTTCTTTCAACGTACTTTAGTCAATTGTGAAATTAAGCGCGAATTTTTTTTTTCTTTTACTTCTTTAAGCAGCAATGAAAAGTTTAAGCAGTTGAAAAGTTAAGAGAGAAATAAGGTTGAGACTTATGTCGAGAGCCTTTTATATAGCAACTGCATATACTCATTTTTACTTTATTTTTTTGAGCTTAATTTACTCATATATACGCTTACTCGCTCAATTGAGTATTTTTTGACATTTCTATAATCCGTCATAGTGGAAAATCATCGTCATATTTCAGTTTAAGCTCGTAAGCATTAAGAATTTTATTTTAGTGTTGAATAAATTTGAATTTTTATTGAGAATCTATCAGTATGAATGCCAACTGAAAAACATAATAAAATTTTAACAAAAACATCTTTTTGGGACATGACGTCAATTATTTGATTCAGATATATTTTGACGTCATTTATGAATGTTTAACAATCATGTCAGCATGTGCTTGAGAGGAATCTTGTTGAACACAGAATTCCATATCTCAATGAAGATTTTTGCCAACTCATATTGCAAATCTGTCTTTAGTTCTGCAAAAATTTCTTTAGAGTTCTGGTTGAGGAGCATAAGAAATGATGCTTCCAGTTCTTTGTTGCCGTTGAACAAATTATCCAAATGAATTCTTAGCTTCTCAATGTCTAATACCACTCGCATAACTTCCAAATTTATTGCTTCCTATATTTTTCAGTAGAATAATAATTATCAATGTTGAGTATGTGATAAAGCATGTAAGATCACTTACCTCTGGCAAATTTTTCACACTAAATTTTGTATAAATAGTCGTCTTTACGTTTTTCAAAAGTATATTAACGTTTCCATTTCCGACAATAGGCAATAACAATATATTTCCTTAAAATTAATATAGGAATAAATTATTTTATTCGAAGTTATGAAATTTAAAGTTTTATTTCTACGGAAGTATATCGGGGTCATTCATTCATTACGTCCAACATACATGGACTAAAAAAAAACCCTCATTAATTAATTGTTTTTGGGGCACAAGTGAGTATAAATGACCCTGAATGACATAAACATTTACCCTTCAATCTATATGATGAACTTAGACGAAGTTTTGGAATTTCCATTTTGAAATTTAACATTTTCTTTTGCATATTAAAATAGGCTTGTGGGATTGTAGCATTTGATGCTCCGTAAACCTTAACATTGTCAAATCCACCTTCAAGCGTTATAATTTGTCCTGCCGTTCTATGTACTTTGATCTCATTAAGTGCGAGAGGATCAAAGGGCTGTATATCAACTTCCGGAATACCTCGAATAATTTTCGCTACTATACTCTGTAAAAGATCTTTTAACGTCTATTAAGTAGCAAAGAGAAAACTAAAAACAAAATTATTTATAATTCTCACCTCTAAAGCAATTGTTTCTATTTGGATCTTGATGATCACAAGGCTTTATCCAATGCACTATAAAGATATAAATTATAGGCAAAAAATTACGTAAATGGAAATGAATCATACAATATCCACATTTTATTTACAATTATCATTTAGCTGTCTATTTGAAATGGATAATTCTTGAGCCAGCGTAACTTTTATTAAACATACTGATAAGACAATTATCAGTTTCCTCATGATTTGTAGTTGATTATTGAGAGAGAAAAAAATGAAGAAACTAAATCGATGGAAAGTTAAAATAATACTGAATGGATTTTGTTGGAAATGAATAGCATTAATGACATAACACATTTACTATGCTTTCTTTTTTAATGTGTATATCTGTGAAATATATAAAATGAAATAAAGTAAAAAAAAGAAGATATACAAGTTGCTAACACTTTTGGAATTAAGTTATTGATAAAAGGTTATCTCGAACGATGCATTTGTATTAATAAATGATTTGGGGGGGGGGGGGGGGCAGTTAGAACAAAAAAGGTGAAGAGCAAATAAAAGAGATATAATTGTTTTAAATGAATTACATTAACTTTTTTTTTTATTTTTACTGTTGTTCTTATAAATATATTCTACAAGGATATCCAATATTTTTTTAAATATTTTTTTTTATTACATAAATAAAAAACATTGTAGTCCAATTCTTTTATTGCCTTAATAAAGACTTTCCACAATTTTCGTTAAAGTTCATAAATGAAGTTTATATTTTTTTTTAAAATATGTAGCAGGAACAATAAAATCTACATGAACTTATTTTTTTTATTACTTTTACTAGACATAATCAAACATTATCTATGTTCATGCTTTCATATTATCAAACATTACTTTATGTGATGCATTCATGCCTTTTTTTTCTTTATTCATCAAAAATTTGGTACTATTTTATTTATCAAAAATGTTAAATCCTAAAATAAGTGAGATTTCTATGCGCTTTGAAAATATTCCGAGAATATGTAATTTAAAGATGTTTACGACATAATTTTGGAAAATTCCATCAATTCATTGATAGGAAAATACAATGAAATTTACATCTTTAAACACCATAAAAGCACAAATAAGGTTAGATAAATTAATGAAAGAACGCATTCCGTCCATCCAGGGCATTTTAATTCCATCAATGCTATGGAAAATTAAAATTTTGAATGAACAGTTAATAAATTACAACCGTTATAATACGAACCACAAAAGTAATCATACAATGAAAAATTCAAAATATATATATGTAGATCGAAATAATTCTTTTTGAGTATACTGATGATTTCACGGACAAACATATCTACGAAAACTTAAGAATCACATAAATGAAGCTTATTTATGCTTGCCTTGTCTGATTTTTTTTATTTATTTAAAATATTCCAAATATTGAATTTCTAAGTTTTTATGAAGACTGTTTTGAAAAAACATTTGTTTTATGCTTATTGTATCATATCAAAAAATGAGTAGAATGCATGAGAAATTGGACTTGTTTTTTTCCTGTAAGTTTGCATTTATGATTAAAATTCTGTATTGGGATCTTTTGTCAATAAAACATGAAAAGTAAATTACTAGTTGGTCTCTACTCCTTTCCAATTTATGATCAGGGACGAATACATAGCTTTATTCTCCTAGGTTCTGTTTCTTCTAATGACCATGTCATTATTGAACTTTCCCAAAATTTTGTCCGATGATACAAAATTCTAATTTAGATACATCCTCAATTTCGATCATTTTAGAAGATAATGAGATTTTCACAGTATATTTTCAAACTAATCGATAAAGAAAAATTTCATCGCCTCTTATTTTTTACAATTTTAATTTTTTTTTAACCTGACCGCAATGTGAACTACAGAAATTTTTTACAAATCAAATACTTTTATACATTTTTTACATCCTTTATGTAGCTTTCTGATAATAACCCATGTTGCATGTTTTTATTTTTTTTTTGCAAGTATAAAATGCAACAATTCAAATGGAGTTAATTGTTTTGGCAGTTTTCTTTTATTTCTTTTTGTTTTGATTGAAAAATTATAAATTTATTAATATCACATCATTAAAAACGTTTTGTTACCATTAGCTATGCATAGCCAAAATTAAAGTTCATTTCGGATGAAATATGCAATAGTATATTTCATTAAAGAAATGACACCAATTTTTTTTTATCATTTGTTATTTCATTTACGTTTTTGATTAAAAATCATATATATACATAGAGCCAAAATTTTCATTTTTCCTTTTTTTCATTTAAATTGTTTGTTTCTATTTTAAAATGAAAACAAGAAGAAAACTTTTTACAAAGACTGTTTTATCAATTTTCAGTTTTATATTACATTTTGCTTATCCTCGAAATTAAAGAAATAAAATCTGACTTTTTTTTTCAATCGTTCCTTTTTACATCCAATATACAGAATGTTATAATTTTTTGAGGCGATGATAACTTTTATGCTTGAAAGAAAAATGAAAAGCTAAAGAAGCTTAATAATTGCATTTTTTTTTTGTGTATCTCATTCTATGTTATTTTTTCTTCCTTCATTACAATAATATTTAAAATTTACACCTAAGTATATTTTTATTTATTTTCTTTATAACTTTTCATATTCTCAAAAATTGTTATTCATTCATTTTTATTTTTATTTTATTTTACTCAAAATGTCATAAATTGATGGATCGTTCAATGATTTTATTTACCTTATTTTATTTTAGTCAAAACAGAATTGTAGTAAATTTAATGATAGTATTTAAGAGATGATGATTAAAATTAATAATAATAATAATAATAATAATAATAATAAGATTTAATGTTCCGAATTTGATACTAACTTATATCATACATAATTATTTAATAATGAGAGGAAATGAAGTAATTTACTTTTTAAACTAATGAAGTGATCTTTTTCCTTATTTTTTTTTTCTTCACAGATTTGACTTAGCTGAGAAACACAGAAAACATTACGAACTCTTAACAAAGTGCTGTAGTTTAAACATCCAACCTACATTGAATTTAATGTTCATATTATTTATATGTATATTTATGTATAAGAGAGCATTTCATAAAATTTTTTTTCATAAAATGTCAAATTTTCTTAATTTTCTTTCATTTTTCACATTTTTTTTTTGTGCATGAATATTTTTTTTATCAGAGATATATCAGATGCTTAAACGTTGTAAAAAAGAAAAAAATATAAATGTTTAAACCTAATATGTTTTTCTCTCGCTTTCTTCGTTTAATTAAAAAGCTTTAAATAACATTTAATTATTTCAATAGTTATTTTCATAGTAAGTTAATTAAGGTATTGGTTTACTCTCAAAAGAAACTTTCACTTAATCTTGATCCTTGAATGGTTTAAATGTAAATTATATGTATATGCATGTTATCTAAATTCTTAGTCTTTTACATTCTACAGAATAGTAGTTTTACGAAAAAATGAGAAGACATCTACATTTAAAGTGTATTTTTTTTTTAAATATTTATAACGATATATATGTAATCCTTTCAATAGCAAATATTATGTTGGTTAAAGAAAAAAAAAATGCTTCATTAGCTTCAATCATGTTTTTTTTTGTTTATAAAGATTAGTGCAAGCATATGCAATATGCTGTCATATTTTGAATTCACTATATACTAATTGAAATGCAAAATACTATGTTCAGAAAGAAAAAAATAAAATCTGAACTTTTTTCTTTCTTTTATACCACTTTCTACTTCTTTTAATGTCGTTAGAGATGTTTAAAATTTTTTTAACTCAACTTTTTTCTTGCTTACCCAAAATGCTATAAAATTTAAGTAAAATTAATTTATATTCCATTCGGACCGAATGAGTTGACTACCGATTCTGTATTAGATGTTGTTGTTGTTGGTACTGTGCTCGATGTTGCCGAAATAGAACCCCCGACCCCGGATTTCAAAGAAAATTTTTCTAGTTTTGCAATTATGTGCTTGCCATAAGTGTATTTGCGCAATGAATTCATGTGTGGTCGTATTTTATGCAGTAATGTTTTACGCTGAGTAGGTTCTGATACATCTATCATCTTTTGGACAACATAATTTGCATATTGATCCTTCATCATTACTTGAAGTCCACTGGACATGATAAATAAAACAAAAAAAAAGTATTATTATCTTCACACCATTTAAAGGGATTTAGAGATCATAACTTTAACTGTACTTACGTATCATTGAACATGCAAACCTCGTCAATCAACATATTGCGTTCAGCTCTAGTTGCATGTGTTACACACTTTTCAACTACGTTCGAAGCGAATTTATGCTGTGACAAAGTTAATACTTTTCCGAGAACTGCCTTAATAATCGCAGATTTATCTTCAGGCTTTCCATGTTCTAAAACATACATCAAAGAATAAGAAAATGATAAAAATAATAATCGTAAGCATTTATTTGAGGAAGTAAAAGGTTAATGTTTAATTTATTACCAAGAACATGTTGAATTACGTAATTTCCATATTGATCTTGTATCAATTTTTCAGTATTTATATGTAGTTCTGACAAAATGGGATTGGTTTGTTCAGATGTACAGTGTTCTAGAATCCTTTGAATAACTCGGCATCCATATGGATGAGTGCTTAACGTAAATATTTGTCCATTAAATGCATTAATTACAAATTGTAATGCATTTGATTCGACACATTCTATGCATTTTTGAACAACATGATTCCCATTCTGATCTTTTACACCTATGAATAGATGAAAAATAGTTTTAATTTATTAAAAAAATTACAATAGTCCCCGTGATATTGATCGAGGGATTTCAGCGCATTTTTGACGCAGCGATCAGTATTTTTTTTAACAACAAAATCTAAGTCAATGAGCAAATAGCACCAAAAGTTTGCCATTTGCAAAGCTTCCAAACATTAGGTACATTTAAAAGATTTTGTATTTCAGCGGTTATTTTCAATTGCATGAAATTTTTTAATTATTTTATTTTCACTTGTGCATAGTTTTTCAAAAATCTAATTCTCATTTTCTTTTCTATTGGTTAAACTGTGAATTATGATTACATCTGCACTCAAATTACTTAGCTATGGCTTGAGAAATTCATGGTTTTAGTTTTAATATTTGGTAGTTTTTTTTGGAATTGTCTCCAAATTACTCTGTTTCACTTATGAAATTTTTCGTAGAATCCAAATTGCAGCTTAACTAAGGCTTCCACAAATATGATTTTGACATCGTTTTGAAGCTTTTACTTTAAGCTATAACTTTGTATACTTAGTATTACTGGAAATTTTACCACCCTAAAGATATTAATGAAAACATTTTGGAAATTTGGGCGAAAAAATTCATGTGAAACAGAGTAATTTTTCGTAGAATGTAAATAATTCTTTAATTAACCATTTTTAATATGTTTGGGTGAAAACAATATGTAGATATCGGTAAAATCTACTATTAAATACATGAAACATGGGGATTAATGCAACTGATAAAGAGAAATATAGATTTGGAGACAAATTTGTAGAAAAAATCATTCGTAGAATCGCCCATAATTAACAAAATTCAAATATTTAACGGAAGAAATAAATTTAGATTTCCGAGTGAACGAACGAAGTTTCAAAAATGCGTAAAAAACAAGACAATAACTATTATACAATGAAATCTTACACTTTAAGACATGTCCTTCAAGTTCCTTAACGATTTCTTGTTGTTGTTCGCTAGGGATGCTTTCCAGAGCTTTTTGAATAACTCTACACCCATACATTTGAAGTGCAAGATTCAGGACATTGCCTTTTACTTGTGATGCAAGTGCAGAACGTTGCTCTTGAGTTCCATATTCGAAGAACTTTTGAATTACATAATTTCCAAAGACATCAGTCATCAAGCTATATGCTGAGCTGATAATTTCATTGAACACCAATTGCTTTTCTGCTGCAGTAGCTCTTTCAAGTTTTTGTTGAATGAATCGAGAACCGTGTTGATCTTGTGAGAATTCAACAATATGATTAGAGAGATCGCGAAGTTGAAGATTCGGATAACGTTGATTGCGAAATTCTTCAAGTAATCGAGAACGTCCTTTGTTTTCTGCATTTGCTACATTATTGGATGCTGTATTGGGAATTGCGACCGGAATATTTGATGGGTTCTGTGAGGAACGAATGCCACCACCACCACTATTTAACTTTGAAAATAGTGAATTGCTCGAACCAAACATTGTATTTGATGCATTTGCCGAAGTTGAAGTAGGTAAATTACCAACTGGTAACTGTCCAATATTTCTATACTTTGTCTCTGCACCCGGAGCTCTATTAATTATATTCGCTGGAGGTGGTGGCGTCAATGGAGCACTTATGCCCACTGGTGAGCTGCTCGATGCTCCTAATGTTCCATTGAATGCTGTAGGCCATTTTCTTATTGAACTACCAGTCATATTTCCAGAGCTATACTCTAACGATGGGCTAAAAGCTGACGTATTTCGATCGAAAGAATCTCTTCTTGTTGTCAAACCGGTGTTTAGTTGAAGACCTGCAACAGAACCATACATTAATCGTCTCTCATATTTTTGCTTTCATTATTTTCTTATCAATTAATATTTTTTTTTCGAAAGCATTTATGATTAAAATGATTTTTTGTGAGTAGTAGTAATTAAGAAGTACCTGGACAAGGACTGTTCAATGAATTGAAACCTGCGTTCAGATTTTGAAATCCTCCGACTATTATGTGTAAGTTTTAATTATAAATGTTATTAGTATTTACATTAATATCATCATTATACATTAGTTGAACAAAAATGAAAATGTGTTAGTAATTAATGAACTAAATTAAATTAGGTATTATTATAATTTTTGAAAGATGTAGGAATTGGTAGAAATTACAAATAAAAAAGAAACAACAGTAAGTAAGATAAGACTAATGAAAACCAGAGTAATGTTTAGTAACACATGATAATTATTTCATTCAAAAAAATGAAGATAAAAAGTGGTAAATTGTTAATCTCTTACCTCCAACATTGTTATTATTTTGTTGCGAGTAAATAGTTTGCGGCGTACCTTGTTGTGCTGGCTGATAGATTTGCGGTGGTCTCGGAGCTGTACCTGGCACTAAAACTGGAGCAGCAACTGGCGCAGGGCTAACGAGTCTCATTGGTGTTCCTGTTCGATGCCCCATCATATTGATTGCACAGCCATTCTGATCATAAAATGTTGGCTGTAAAACCTATTAGAAGAATTAATTACATATGTTACAACATTTGTACAACAAATGATTCTGATTATGTTTAAGTTTTATTTTATATTATTATAATCATCATTTCTATTATTATTATTATTGTGTTGACGTCATGAAGTGAAATTATGGAAATAATAATAAATTAAAATGAAATATTTTTGACGCATTTCTTTAAAGTGAGTAACTAACGTTTCATGTTTAATAGAATTTTTTGTATTTCATTTCTTTCTACATAAAAGAAGGGCAAAAAGAAAGAAAGAAACGATACTTAGTGTGATTTACATTTCACGAACAAAATTACAGAGCTGCCGAAACGAAATAGCGCGTGTTAAATATTATAAGGAGACGTAATATAGTGAAACAAATAAAAACGTCCAAAAAAATAATACAAGGACAACAAAAAACCTCATGAAAAGAAATGAACAAAAAAAAAATCCAACCTATATATTTATATATGTATATACACTGAATTAATATTAAAAGAAAAATTTACAGTAATTTATAAAAGTTACGAATAACAATAAGAAAGAATCATGGATCATTAATATCATATTATATTCTATGTATACTATTCCTTGATGAATTTATAGCGGAGCAACTCAATTTATGCATTTTACAATTATTATTAAGTTGTTTCATTATAACGATTACTTACGAAAGGCTGATTTTCAGCTCCTTGTGATGGCGTTAAAGGTCTTCTCGGCTGTGTCCCTTGTTGTGGAATCAAATTTGCTGGATAAACCCATGGAGGAACTCCATAATATGAAGGTGGAGCTAACATTGTTGCCATGAAAGGATTTCCATCCTGGCTTGGCATCATATAAGGAGCAGCTTGTGCTTGTGCCGCATATGCAGCATTTTGTTGAGCCAAAAACTGCTGTTGAGAAGCAGTCATCGGCAGAGGTGGCAAAGGTTGTCCATTTGTTGTATTAGTCAAAGCGGGATTTTGAGATCGTAGCAATTGCTAAAAATATACCATTGAAATTCATTAATCATTGCATTAAGTAGATCTTTTAGTATTTCAAATCATTATCATTTCGCTATATGGTCTCATTTTATCAACGAGGAAAATAATGAAATAACATCAGGAAGCATAAAAAAATAAACTGGTGAAATATTAAAATTATGATATTAATAATGAAAAGCTTAACAGTTTCTTCACCTTCAAAAGAAAGTTTTTCTTTTTCTTTTGTTACTTTTTTTTTGATACTTCGTATATACGCAAGTTTTCTGCATTTTACTAACTATTCAAGTGTGGATAATTATCCGCAAAGTTTACCACATTGAATAATTAGAAACTACTTAGCTTTCAATTTTCGACTTTAGCTTCAAATCAATAAATTTGATATTTTTCTGTATTTTTTCAAGCAAGTCTTGTTATTTTATAAATTTGTTGTAAATTGTTTTTCCTCAAAAAATAACAGCAAAGGAATTTTTTTTCTTTCTTTCATGCTTTCGTTTTTATTTTTTTACTTTAATACTAAAACATTTAGGTTGCGTGACTTGAAGCTGTGATTCCCCCTTGAATAAGGTGCTAGACTCATGCTTCTTTAAATAACACAAAAAGTTTTAATTTGCATTATTGGGGTGAGATGTATTTCATGTGACTTATTTTAGTAAAAATTCTTATCACCTCCACTATATAATTAATAATCTAGTAATTTCGAAAAGAATGTCTACCACGAAAAAAGAAAATACCCCAACTCTTATATTTTTGTTGTAATGCAGAAGGTGAAAAAGTAGAATCATTTATAGTGCTTAAAATGTATGTATAAATGAGTCCTGAACATAACAAAAAAAAAGTAAAGCAATTTTCATTTTCGATCGCAAGTCTATGTACGAAAAATATCGATTTGTTTACTAGCCATAATATGTTTCTTATATAAATAGCAATGTTTACCCCTATTCTTACATGCTTTTCATTACATTAATATTTGTAAGTGTTAACTTTTCGTCGCTATTATGGAAAAACTTTGTTAAAGAATATGCATTATTGTGTCACTTAATTCATGATCAAAAGAGAACATGACAATGTTTCTTTTTTTTTTGTTTCTGTAAGTAGCTAAATGTTTGTATAGGTTTGTGTTACAATAAAATAAAACACACTCAATGTTTTCGCCTATCTCCTCAACGATTTTAATCATGTTTTTAAAAAGAATCAGACCGAATGATATTTTAATATCATTTCTTTGGTATGCTCATTATCTTCAGCGAGAACTTATTTTAAATATGTATGTGTATGTTTTTTTTTTATATTATATGAAAAATCCTTCGAAGGAGTGGTGCCATTTATTACCTTAATATGGCTATATAAAGGTGTGTCCTAGCTTGCATAAACTTTTGGAATGATTACGTTCTACATTCAAATTAAAGTAGAATATAAAAAGGAAATTGTTTGCAAGTTCTGGCGATTCTTTGGAAGTAAAAGGATCATTTGCCGCGAAAAGTGTTATAAATTTTCTTCTTTCATCTGTGAGTTATGACGAGTACTTTCATTTTTTTGTGCAATTAAAATATTTGCGCTAAATTGCGAAACCATTTTTAAAAAAATATCAAAAATATGAAAAACAGGAAATTTTAAAAAGTATTCAAATTCACAAACAAAATATAAAAGCTACGAAACGTTTAAGTTATTTTAATGACTTCATTTTATGTGCAAAATGTGAATTATTCCCTCTTAAACGCATACTTTTTTTCTCAATTAATTAATAGACACTCTGATTCAGTGGTTCCAAACAGATTGTTACGACAAATTTAAGTCCAATAAGAACTCAAACTATTTTATTTTAAAGTTTTGTTGAAAACAATAAATTCAAAAACTTCTCAACTTCAAAAAATAAACTATCTCAATCCTAAAATGTAAGCTTGTGTGGCACAAGTTAAAAAAGTGTATGAAGCACTGATCAAAATTAGCAGGCACTCTATGATAAGTGCTAAAAGTCGTTCAAATTATTTCATTGAAAAAAAAACTCTTTGAAAAAACCCTGCTCTTCAAGTTGCATTTTAATTATTGATCCGACGCATATTACAAAATAATGAATATATAAATGAGATACATCCGACATCTTCATTTCCATTTGACAATTCAAGTAATTTAATGAATGGAGATAGTAAGCAACATATGTATCAGAGAAAAAAAAAAAAAATCGATTTTGATGTTCATATGTGCTGGTATACTTTTGTACACAATATAACTTCCTATTGTATATTCGTAAATCAATTTTTATATTTTGTCTTGTTATCTTATTATATACTTGTGCCGACAGTATTATTAGGGTTTGTGGAAGACATGCTTGACAATGTGCATGCATCGATATTAAAATAATATTTAATAATGAAATGATTCCTCTTCATTTGTAAGTATGCTCAACTTTTATAATGATTATTATTCTTGAAGAGCCCGTTATATAATCGGTCAAAATAACGGTACACATTTTTTCTTCTTTATATTCGCATTTAGTTGTTCTCATTTTCTCATTTTACTTACACTTCATACAAATAACCATTTTCAAATGAACTTTCTTTCTGGTATACGATCCCAGCAATTTTTTTTTATTTCACTCTTTACTGTTCTTGCAAAGCAGATTATGATTCTACAATAAATTGACTTTTTGCCTAGTAGTAGTACAACAGCCAACAAGATCACCACCTTTTTGTTTTTATTTTAAATTTATTTTTCTCAAAACAAAAAAAAAGTATTTTGTAGCAAGACGTTTAACTTTTCAAACATATTCTAAAAAGATAATTATCTATTCTGGTGTAATTTGCTCACTGTACGTTCGTCTTTATGATCTTGATTTAAAAATTTTTAAAAATAGTAATTCCTCATTGTATTACAAACACGTTATTCTTCATTTTTCAATTTTTTTTCTTTCTTTTTCTCGGTTTTTTTTTCATAAATTTAGTCAAAAGAAATTTGTGATGAAAACCGGGAAAGGAAAAATTATTCAAATAATAACCAAAAAATGTGTATATATGTAATAGATTCAAGATTCATGAGATATTATAAGCAATGAACTTTACTTTAAAATTGATTTATACATTAGTTAATTCACAGTTACACTTACAAGTTGTTCCTTAATCTCTTTGCTATAAACTGGCGAAAGCCATTGATGTAAACCCAGAAATCTTTTTTGTACTATTTTTAAGGTTGGAGCACCTTGTGCATAAGGTCCACCTAGTGCTGCTGTCATTTGTGTTCCCTCTAAAACAACCATTTTCACATCGATATTTAAATAATAGCTCTATCAGTCCATATGTTTTATAAAGGTCACTTAGGAATATTATCTTATGTCTTTCTTCTTATTTAAAGTTATAGTTTTAAAACTATTAAAGGCAAGAATATTGTATTGAAGCAATAATATATATCAGTAAATGATGACTACACTTTTCTTTTTAAGTATGTAACGTTTTTTTTTTTTGATAATTCATAACAATTGTCTAGCACTCTATATTTGAAGATCATAATATTCTAATGTAAACTTCACTTATATAAAAATGTAACATTTCTAATATACATCTATATCACATTCAAATAAACTTAGGCCACTTATGTTTGTTATTTATTTGTTCATGTTTTTTTTTTAATATTATTTGTTCTTGCTTTATGTCTTGACTCTTAAGTTATGAAAGCTATTAAATTCTCTCTAATTGCGTTAAATTTTGTGCCATATAGTGTCTCAATTTTACGAATAATTCTTTTGAAAAAAAATCATCTCAATTTTTTGACGTTTCTGTTTTGAAGTAAAGAAAAAATAAATAAATAAGTATCTTTCTCTTCCTTTATTTTGTATATCACATTCAATTTTTTTCTGCTGCTTTTTATCATACATTCATATACTTTCGAAATGAGGTCACTACAATAGAATTTTTCAGTCCATCAACTTTCTTTTGTCGCTTTTTATTCCCAATTATACAAAAATAATAACACGTTTATGACGTAGGAAGTTTAAGGGACATCGATCATTAAAACTTATATATTTCAATAAAAATAAGCTATATAAAAGTTGCATAAAAAATAGACTTAATGTATACTTAGATTCCTCAAGATTCTTTCGTTCCAACCACTATAACAAATTTCGGTTTTCAACATTTCTTACTCTTTTCTTCTTCGTAGAAGTATATCCACTTATACATGTGTGTATATTTTCACAAGAAGTTTCAACATTACAACAATGAAAAAAAGAAAAACAGTTAAAATATGTACATTTTCATATATGGCTGAGCGGTTCGATGAACTCTCTGTAGAAAATTATACAAACTTTAATCATTTTTCATACTTTTTTTTCCATTGAGTAAGTGAAGCAAATATTCTTCTTTGAAATAGAATAGATTTGAAAACTTGTATTCTTATTTCACTGATGTGAAACAAAAGAAAATGAAATGCAGAACTGTAGCTTATGTATTATACTATAAAAGTTCTTCAAATATGGAAGTTCTCTTTTTCGTTATCATTGTCGATGAATTTTTTTCTCCCTTTTTCCACTTAGATAAGAACATTCTGAACACATTAGTTCTTTTTTTTTTTTGAAAGGAAGTCCTGTGTATTTTACGCAGTTTTTATGACAAATACGATAAGAATTTCACTCGAATACAAGTATCACACATTATTTATCACAAAATAGTTCACTTATACATTTACGATCATAATGATTTTACAGAATTTTTTTCAGATTCAGCAAATTATCAATGACTACCGTACGTCTTGAAAGAAGAAAAAAAATTACAGTTAAGTGACTAAAGAAAGAAAGAAAGCGATGGAGAGAATAAAAAGAATGTGACATACAAAATAAATCCGAAATTAATAAAGTTCAAAGTTATATTCTGTTTTGTTGTTTTCATTAATCATTAATCAATATAATTGATAACAATCATCACACCATTAATATTACTGCTTTAATAAACAGTATTGATAACTTTTTTAATTCAATGAATTATAAGTCTCGGAAAATCAATTGCCGAGACTTATTCGTCACTTCAGAAATTCTTTTGCAATATTTACTTTTCTTTAATAATGAAATAATAAATTATTCACTCATTTTCTTCAAAAATATTAATTTAATCATTCACTTCTTAATTTCTAGCACTTTAATTTGCTTTTAAATATGTGGCTAGTTTCAAATTCAATTAAAACTAATTAATGAAATAGTAATAAAAAGAATAATGAAGACTTGCACGATACACTTAAAGTCTTTTCTTCGTAAACGCTTTCGTGACACTGAAAGAGCTGAAGTCAAGTTAGAAATAAAACACTTTTTACAAGAGTATAATACGAACGAACTGTAAAATTTCTCTCATTCTCTATTTTTTCACAATTACAATGCTTTCAACGTTTTCACAGCTCTACAGCGAAACTGTATGCGGACAGAGGTTACTGAGCGATGATTAAGAACTAAAAAATGTTTAGTTTCGTTGTGCATGGAAATCCTTTAATTTTCTTCATAGTTATATATATATTTTTTTTTAGATTTTCTCGAAAAGATTAATTATGCGGATTCAATTAATTTACATGGAATAATTATTGCGTTTCAATTGGATTGCTTTTGTCCATACATAGAGCCCGATATAAAAGATTAAATTATTATGCTTAGTTCCAATAGACTTTCTTTCTTTCTTTTTTGAGCACACTTTATCACTCATTCTCTCTCTTCTTCTCAGATTTGAAAAGAGTGAAAATGTATTACTCTCACTCTCTCCCTCTCTCTCTTTACAGCTTACAAGTACGTATAGCATGCATATTGTAGTTGTATGCAATTCTACTATATTTAATAGAATAGATATTTTATATATAACTGTAATCTCACTTCTTAATTCTTTATTGCGTTATCAAATATTGTTTATGTATTCATCATCACTTTACGACTCTTTTGTTGATGATATTAGACATGCATTCTGACTTTCTTTAAAGACATGTCGAGACAATATGATAAACCATATTAATTCTATTCCATATTATTTCCAACTATTAAAAAATTGTACATTCCTTAATTTTATTTTAATAATTAATCGATTGTATAAACCCCTATTAAACATTTTTTTTAATTCTTCGAAGGAGCTTTCGTACAAGACTAAATAAAAAGCAACGAAATACTTTACTTTTTCTGTTTTGTTTTGTTTATTTATGTATCCAAAAATAATCCCTTATATTTTTTTTTGTCATATAAAAACACATAAAACAAGTTATGTGGACGAAATATGTACTGTATTCGTGTATAGAAACATTATGAATGCAAATGTCGCACTATAAATGCCGACAATAACAATCAGCACAAAAAAGTTTGGAGTTATTCTGAGCAAATGGTAAAAGTTTAAAGGATGAGTTATGGATAACGTAGTAATGAAATTATAAAAAAAATAAAAAGTTTTGCGGATTAAGGATGTTATTTTCTTTTTTTTTTCATGAAAATGTGCGAAAATGCAAAAAGTTAAATATTAGTGTTATGGATTTTTACGCACCTCATAATTATGTTGTTGTTGCTGTTGTAGTATGTTTGCTGGAGAATCGTGACTTTGTCCTACCATTGGATTCTAAACGAGAAATAAAAGATTAGAAATGTGTTTTTTGTTGATTTTTTTTCGTAGAGAAATTGGAGCTTACCTGAACCATTCCGCCATTCAATATATGATGACTCATATGTTGTGGATGAAAAGATGAAGATCCCATTTGTTGCTGATCATGATTATTTAACATGTGTTGCATCATTGGTTGTGAAAATCCACCAACATTAATGCCTTGTTCAAGTCCAAAAGAATTTCTTGCTAAATGCTCTTCTGCTGGAGAAGGCTGACGAGATCCAGGAGTTCGACTAAGCACAAATAAACTAATACAAAATACAAAAATTATAAATTATGCATTAAACTTACTTGAAGCCTTTGTCGTCATCAATTCCATTTGTTGTTCCATTAGAGTTGGGGTCATCTTTCTTCAATCCATTGGTTTCAAAAGGAGATGCAATTTCTTTATCGTCGTTACCCTATATTTTAATAAAAATTTATTGTGTTGATACATGAATAGATTATGAGTAATTTATACTCACTTTAACTTCGTCAATTTTTAAATTTCTCAATCTAGAATCTAACGCTAATGGACTTTCTTTGTTGGTTGGCGAGCCTCCCAAAACATATTCAACCATTTTTACACCTAATCCGCCTGTCGAATCGCGAGGACTAAAAATAATATTTCTTTATTGAGTAATTTTGTTTTACAATTAATTTTAATTTTCATTAAATTACCTTAATATTCCAGTCATGGTGTTATCATTTCGTCGTGGAATTAATCCACTATTATCTTGTGTTGACCACATTTGCTGCTCCTTTGTCCAAATAGCTCCAGATTGAGGCTCACTTTTTGGCCACATTTGGTGCTCATTGCCTTGCAAAGGCATTTGCAAAGGAGCCAGTGGATTTGTTGTCTTTATGTCCGATTTGCTATCCCACAATTTCTTCGTAGCAGACGAAGTTATCTGAAATTAAAACATATTAATTAATCCAATGGCAAGACATATTTATTTATTTGAGTGGCATTTTTTTCGACTTACATTACTTCTTGATGGTAAGTATTGATTTTGTAGCTGATTGAGATGATGCGGTGGAGGAGCATGTTGCTGATTCAAGTAAATATATTCAGAAGGGCCTTTTTGTAATCCATTCATGGGATTCATCATATTATGATCATACATCGGAGGCGGACCAGGCTGAACACCATGCTGATGATGGCCTGAATTGTTCATATTCATTGTCTGACTGAGCATAGTCGATGGATTTAAATGATTAGATTGAAGCTGATTTGGTATTTGTGAAGGGTGATGATTAAGCATAGGTGGAGGCTTAATAGCATTTTGCTGATTTTGATTACCAAACGGTGGTTGTTGTTGTTGTTGCTGTTGCATAGTCGGTTGATATATTGGATATTTCCACTTTTCTTGATTCTAACAAAAACAATGAATATAAAAACATGTATAATACATAGATTCAATTACCCAATAATAGTAAAACTTACATCGATTATCTCTTCGGTTCCTGCCCATCGCTTAGGTACAAAAGCCGCAGGAAACTCATTCTCTTGTGAAGGATGAAAACCATAACCAACAGCAGCATCGTCTTGCGAAGTTCGAATTTGCGGACGATTACTTGAGTCAGAGTTTTCTTCGTTTCCTAGAAGTTTCATTCCAGAATTCTTGCCTTCTTAGGGTTTTCTGATAGTTTCTAAACAAATACAGTAAAAAGAGATGTTATTGTTGTTGCCCCATAATACAAATGAATCAAATGAAAAGAACAAAAAGAAAAATAAAAAGAAGAACAAAAAAAAACTGCTCAAGTTCTTTCGGCAAAAAAGCTTATCCTTTTTTTAAAAGTATTAATTTTACACTTTTTTCGCAATATTGCTTACATTTTTCAATCAATATGCTATACATAAGTGCTTTATTAAATACTAATCATTATTTAAAACTCACATAAACTATTTTTCACTTAAAATTTCGTAAAAAATTAACATTTGTCTGCACAAAGTCAATGCATTATTGGAAAAAATTCAATGTGTCTGTGACATAGGGGATAATTTTACTAGCATGTCACTCGACATTCAATGTCTGTTTGGGAATTTTTTATCTTAAAAATTTAACTTAATTCATATCAATCGAATCAGATAGTTTATTTTCATGACTTAAACTATAAATCCAATGAATTTGGATAAATTAGACAAAGCTAGTCATAGACATGTTAAAAATGTCTGAACTGGACGTAAAGTATGGATTGTTTTAAAAATGGTGGGTTCTTTTTCTCTTCTTTCTTTTATCTTTCGGCAAATATAAATTTTAAGGAAATTACTTAAATTACAGCCTAATTGTTAGGAAAATGAATAAGAATTGAGAGTGACTTACCTATTTTTATTTAATGCTCTTTAATATGAAATTTAAACGTTTTATATATGAATAAAACATAAAATTTAAAGTCAAATTTATGCGAGGTAAAATGAAATAGGAAAAAAGTTCTAAACAAGCCAAATTTTTTTTTTAAAATGTTCTTTATCTCTTTTTCACTTAATTTAAAGCTTTAAACATGAATACTTCAAAACGTTGTTGTTCTAGCAAGGTAAATTTATTGATTAAACTATTATTAATTGTGAGAAATTATGATATTTCAGTCAAAATGCAGGAGAATTTATTTACACCGATAATATTTTATTTACAATAAACTAGTTGAAGCACCCGTCAGCTTTTTTTTCTTGAATTCAAATCATTTCGAAAATCTTTTTATCCGTTAAAAAAATTCATCACTCTTATATCGCGTCTCTACCTTTCTTAAAATTATATTTTTGTTTTAAGTCACGTTTGTTAATTTGATGTATGCTTCAATGTCTGTTAGAGTGATAAATGATGCTAATAGTTCTGATAAATTTGTGCAAGAAACTTTCGAGCATGTCAAGTTTTTCGATGGATATTCTCGTTATGCTGCGGTCTTATTTTCAATCCTATTTTGAACGTTTAATTCCTTAAAATTCAAACCAGACACTATGAAGATACAAGACAGAAAAAGTTGAGTTTGACTCAAGTCAAGATGGACACGCAAATGTTAAGCGATGTACATTAATTTGAATTTTAATTGCAGTTCTATTATTTCTTGAGTATGGAACCTAATATGTAAACATTCATTTTAATATGTGTGCACATTAAATTACATAGCAATTGGGTGTTTTTTGTCAAACTCAAACTAAAGGTGCATGTGCCAAAAACAATGTGCAGTGATATTCAAAAATCGTAAAAGTCAGATTTTCATATTTTTATGACGTTTTTTATTTTTTATTACAAACCATATGTCTTTAGAGAAGTTAAAAGGTTTTGCTATCTTTACGTAAATTTTGATTTCAGGAAAAAAAGGATGCAATGTAATCTCTATCGACAACTTCCTTCCATGATTTTTTTCACCGTCCACGAAACAAATTATAGATGATTGATCAAATTAATATACGAACTTGTAAATTAAGTCTTGCTTGTTTTAAATAAAAGTATTGTTTTTAAGGTATGTAAAATTTTTATTTATATTTTCTTGTGTTCTATTACATGGATTACATAAATGAAGTTTAATGTGAACACAAAGTAACTGTCGATTGGCAAAAACAATCAATTGATGAAACAAAAAAATCTTGATTTTCATATTTCTTTTTTTAAAAAAGCAGCAAGTATCATTGATTTAATTTCTACAAGACTAGAGATATATTATTTTTTTTTTGTTTTGTTCATTTTTCTTCTTATATGAGTGATGCTAAAAAAAATTCGGAATGGTTTTCATCTATTCTTCTCATCTTTGTTATACAAAAGCCTTTATTACTTTTCCAATTTTGTAAAAGATTATTAATTAATATTATCATACTTTTTTTCTTCTTTAATAACTTGCAAACGCTATGGCATACTTGAATGAATGAATGATGATTTCTTCGTATTATCTAGATTAATTATGATTAAATATAAAATATTTTGCGAACAGTTCAAATTTTTTATCACTTATATCTAAAGTTTTTTTTGTTTTTATTTTTATTTCCCTTACAACACTTTTATTCATTTCTCTTGAGATTCGCATCTACGATTAATTACTAGTTACTTTTTCCAAATTCTCAAGAACATTATAATTTTTATGATGAACAGAATAGCTAATGCAAATATGAGTAGCTTTTAAAAGAAATTCACACATACTTATTCTTATAATATTTACTATTTATACGGCATTTTGCACTTTAGCTGTACTTCTCATATTTCTAGTTTAAACTCAATTTGTTTCATGTATTTTTTGGTAAAAAAGTTATGTTTTATCATTTTCTGCGTGTTTATCTTATTTCTTCAATCCTTTGAATGGATCGAATTTATTGAAGGAACTAAAGATAAATTTCAGCATCGAATTAAAAAAGTCATTTCTTGTTTAGCTTGCAAATTTTAAAACACAATTAGGTATTATTTGAAATATTTGATAGAAACATTTAGAAATATTTTTGTCAATTATCTTTCTTTTCTCATGTATAGAGTATAAATATTAAACCTATGTTTTATAGAAATTTTCTTTAAATATCAAAAATTAGATGGTTGTTTTTTTTATCAAGTTTCAAAATGAAAATCTATCCTTAATAATTATGAACTTTATATGAAAGAGTTAAATTATTAAAATATTCCAAAAATATTTTCTATTGACGGTACATAGATAGTTTGTTGTATAAAAAGGTGTTAGGTATATAGAAATAATCAAAAAAAAAAAGAATAAAACTTTTGGTTGCTGAATTGTGTTGCTGCTGCTGTTTAAAAAAACTTACTTAAAAATATATTTTTTTTCTTCTCACGTTTTTAGGAAGGAGAATTTTCAAAGGAGCTTTTGTGCAAATTAGCAAAATCTACTAGAGCCCGGTGCAAAAATTCATATGCATTTACCGAATCAATCATTTGAGCTCGTTGTGTTCGAAGTTTTTGTGTAATTACTCGTATATCAACTCTTTTCTCTAAACGTAATTGTTGAACCAAAATGCACATTGCGACAAATATTGAGCTACGATCAGTTCCTTTGCTACATTGAAAGAGATAAAGGAAATGATTAAGAATAAATGAGACAAAAAAAGGTAAACTTAAACTTACCAGCAATGAACGAGCATTGGTTTTGGTGTATTATCTTCGTCAATTCTTAATTGATGATGATTTTGAGATTGGTGCACTATTTCTAAGATTCCGCGAGTAACTTCTGGCACTTCGCCGTCGACCGTTGGCCATCCATTGTATTGAAAATGTGTAACATTAATTGTATCATTTATTTTGCAATTTGTAACTGAAAATTCTCTCTTTGTGTAATATGGACAACTTTCGCTTTGAACATACTTGACTAAAATGTGATCATATTGAATCTCATCATCAGCCCAATATCGTGGACATTTATTCTCCGTTGTACCAATTTCTGACATCATCACAATTGTCGGTATGCTTTGTTCTGAAACCATCCTCCAGAAATCAGATATTGTGCTCTCTAATGGATCTTGTGCAATAATAAAGGATTCATGATTATCATAGCCTTCCATAAATGAAGCATTAATGTACGTGGAATGATCTCGGCCAGGAATTGGAGTTAAAATTACTCGATTTCTATCGAAAGGAATAATTTCTTCACTACGATTTTTTGCTAAATTCTCATCACCGCTTCCTACAGCACATGTTTTCTTAATATCATCTTGAATCGATCTAATTTTATCGTATTGTTGCTCCAATTTTGATTGCTCCTTGCTATCACTAGATCGCTGCTTTAAACTTTCTACTGCGGGAGCTAAGCCCTTATATCGCAACTCTGTGTCTCCGAAATGTGCTACATCAAGCAATGCTCGATATAAAAATATATATTGTTTCTGTCAATTTAAAAAAAATAAAATACATGATATGACATTTATGACTAATCGGAAAAGCATCGAAAATGTATATTATTTTAATTCTTACCAATGATTGAACCAAATAATTTCTTTGATGGCGCATATCGCATATTGTATTAAAAATAGAAGCCTGATTTTCCTCGTTCATCTGTTGAATTAGTGAATCTAGAGCCACTAATGTTCCAGTTCGTCCAACTCCTAATTATTATCATAATAAATAATTATTTCAAAACAATTCAAGTTCATTGATTAAATTTTACCTGCAGAACAATGTATAAGTAATGGTCCACGTTGAACGGAATAGTCTGAATTGATAGTTTTAATGAATTTCAAAATTCCATAAGGATGCTCTGGTGCTTGAAAATCTTTCCAAACTAAATAATGGTATTGAGTTATATGTCTAGATGGCTCGTCTGAGTTAGATTCCATATCAGAATTGGCATTTCTCTTGATTATCTATTTTAATTTAAGATATAATCATAGAATGATGAAATCATAGAGGTTTAATTAATTTAAGCTTACCTTTAGATTTCTAACGAGATAATCCGAATAGCGATGTTCGCTATCAAAATGAACTGTAATGTCTCCGAATTGGACTGTCTCAGAAATTCTTTCTGGCCAGTATTTGGCACATTTTGTTTTATTATATTCTTCGAGATTAGTGAGCATTATAATAATTTCCAAGTGTTGCTCATAAACCATTCTCCAAAAGTCATTGACTGTACTATCCATCGGTCCTTGTGCACAAATAAACTTTTTCCTCTCTTTATATCCAATAACGAAATTTGCATTTATATAATCGCTGCCAATAATTCCATTTAAGGATGATAACTTTACTCGTGTTTGATCATATGACTTAATATCTGGATAGCGATTTTTATAGACATTCTCTTTCATGTCTCCAGAACGAGAAGTACGATCCGTAAAGCGATCGGGGAGCATTTCAAATTCATGTTGAAAGCCATAATCAGAATCTTTATGACGATCTGTGTAAGCTTGAGGAAGATCATTTTTCTGAATTGGTGGTAAATCAGGTGGTTTCGAAACAGTATTGAGTGAACGATGTTGATGATGATTTGCACGACCGCCATGACATAAAAGCCTTAATGAATCAGTTAAACTAACCACTTCATTACCTTGCATAATGTGCTTCTTTTGATAGCGATGTAGCAAGCATAATAAAAAGAATAGTGAAATTACCAAAACAATTAATCCAGCAAGTAAATATGTAATAGCCATTAACATATCATTATTTTCAATAGTTTCCGACGGAACTGGGGGTTTTGGTGATAATGGAGAAAAGTAATCGCTATATATTGACAAGGTCTTATCATCCATATCCTCATTTTCTACGACGACTTCTATGAAGCCAGTATAATTACTTTGAATATCCAAAGGCCCATCATATAGATCAACATTTTCTGAAGATTTTTCAGCTGCATGATTTAGAGATAATATATTAAGTTGTTTTGGCTCAAACTGGTCATGTCTTTTCCTTCGACTTTCATTATCCTTAATTTCAATTTTCTCCTCTTTCTCGTCATTTGCAGACACATTCTTATTACTTTCCGATTCATCAACTTTGTCATCTTCATCAGCAGCATTATTATTATTATTATTATTGTTAATATCAATAGAGTCTATGACAATTTGTGCCTTCTTTCTGGTTATATTCATTAAGCATCCACTGCACTTGTTACTAAAACTAGATTTGGTGTAAATGTGATGTTTTCCACTTCCAAGTAATACTTCTGATTTATAATGATTACTTGAAATAATATCAGCAATGTATGCTCCAAAAGCAGAGCTATTATCATTGTGTGCCTCATTAAATGTTATGATGTCTAAATCATCAGGTTGTTGCTCTATGTTAAAATGATTGTTGATTTTTATCATGTAGATTCGATAACAACAAATTTTGCCATTTCGTTCAGAGACTCGAGGTAAGAATAGTTTAAAAACCCAATTATACTCTTCAGTTAAATGTTTTCCAAAGATAGTTTTTCCAATTTGATCTGGTACTGTTGGAGGCATCGTACAATTTGCATATCTTTTATCACCAGGCTTTTTACTTCTTGTGACAGCTGCAACACTTACGGTGAAATTAGTATTTGGTGGAACGTTTTCATATGTTGCCTTCGTATCCTGTGATTTGTCAATATTCTTAGCTTTTGGACCATAAGTTTGGTTAATATAAAGTCCTTGATCAGACTTAAAATGAGCAAGACCTTCCAAAAGAACTTGATAGGACATAACAATTCCATTTGCTTTTGATGGCTTTGTCCATTCTACATGCACAAAATTACGCTTTGAGACATTATGATGCATACAAGTAACTTTAACTTCGTCAGGAGGGCCTGAACTTCCATCCATTGTTGTTCCATTTACAACTTCTGACCAGTTTCCACATTCCTTGTTATATTCACTACATGCTCTAACTTTAAAGAAATATTCAGTAGCCGTTAACAATTCGCTAGCCATGTATGGTAAATTTCTCGAGTTTTGAGCATGAAATGCTTTCTCGACATTAGTATAATTTTGCTGATAAACTTCTACTTCATAATAATGAATATAGTCTAGTAAATCTGGTGGAGGTGGTTGCCAGCCAATTGTTATCGTTGAATGTGAATTGCCTTTAACTTCTACGATAGGAACAAACACCGGATCTTCTGATAAAGTCTGAACTAATGGGGCCCATTCAGTAACTGGGCCACTTCCAATCTCATTTCTAGCTGATATCTTTAGCTTGTATTTAGTACTAGCAAGTAATTTGTCAATAACCATCGAAGTAGCATTTCCTTCAACACGATTGGGAGTATATTGAAAATTCTGCTCATCGTCATGCTTATATTGAGGTAGGATCGATATAATCTTTGAATTTCCATTATCAGTTACTATAGATAAACAGAAAGTTCAAACGTTAGACTTATAAGTGAAAGATAAAAGTGATTGACATTTGACATACCTGTCCAATTAAGAAATATTCTATTTCGTCCGATAGCCTTAGCGAAACTAATGTCAATAATTGGTGCACTCTGGATTAAAATGGATGTTCGTTTCTCGATTTTCTCTTCGAATGGCTTATCCAAAATACTCGGCTGAAGAACTGAACAAATATACGTTCCATTATGCTTCTTTGTTGCTTTATCAATCGTCACTTGAGCGATAATGTGAGTATCGTTAGTGATAATTTCCGTTCTATTTGCAAGTATCGTGTTAATTTCCGATGAATCAGAAGCATCTTTGTTCTCAAAATTATCCACCGTCTCTTTTTCCCATTTAATCGACTTATTGAATAAATTAGGAGGAAATGCCTCGACGATGCAATTTAGTGAGAAACTCTTTGCATCCTTCTCTTTTAACTTAATTTCTTCATATGCAGGAGATCGAATAATTGGTATTTGCACAGCGACTACAACGTGAGATACTTGAGATGTAACATTTCTTTCATTTTCATTTTCCGGAAAGTGACACAAATAATTTCCCGAATACTCTTTACTAACATTTATTAACGTCAAAGTATGACTAAAAGTATGCTGCTTTATTAATTTCAATTCATTTTCATCGTCATTTGGAGAGTTTTCTGTTGTATTCCAAGAAAATCTAGAAGAAAAAAATAAACATAGTTGAATCATTAAGCATAAATTGACCAAGAGAATAAAAGAAAAATAAAATTTTCCGGATTTTCTATAGCATCATTTTACCTTTTATCCTCAAGAGTTATGTTTTTGTTGTCTTTTGTCCACCAAACAACCTGTTCATTTGCTTGGCACAATAAACTTTCTGTAGATCCTATTACCACAAATACCTCATTTGGATCTAGATTCGTAGAAAAGATATTAATAAAAAATATTCTTAGACAAAAAAGAGGCGTAAACAATTTATCCAAAATATTCGCAGAAAAAGCTATGTTTCAGTGGGTTTTTTAATTGCTTAACACTTTATGCTTAATAATACTCACTATCAAAGTCACTAGCTGTTGCACTAACTATGAGAAATGATAAAAAATATATTACAATCATTTTTTACGGGCATTTGAAAATTTTTGCTGTTGTAGTGCTTATTTTCTTCGTACTCATCCAAAAAGTTCAGAACTTTTATTTTTATAAACTTTTCTAATCGGCAACAAATTTTTGCTGCAAGGAAGTCAACAAAATTATCTGAAGATACCAATAGGATTGTAAAGAAAACAACATGCTTTTCTTAATTCCTTAGGTGCTTGCTCTGACACTGTTCAAAAGCAGACACGAAAACATTATTAATTTAAAGGTAAAATTAATACATGGATTAATTAATAATAAACTAGTTTCGGCAAACTCCATTGCTAAGCTTTTTAATGCTAAAAGCTCGCAGTATACATGAAAAAATTACATACAAAAAAAGCTCAATCCATATGATTCTATAAAAATCATAAATGTAAACATTAATATATTCCAACAGTGAAAAAGTGACTTTAATTCTTTAATTATCTTAGAATACGCAAGATTTGACTTTAAAATGGATTTGCCTATATTGGCTGTTATTTCGGAAGATAAAAATCAATCAGCAGATTCATTGATAGCTAGTAAGTAATCATAAAATTTCAAATCATTTAATAAGGATAAAAAAGATAAAATAAGTTAAATTAAATAGATATAAGAAAACTATCAAACAACGAGGATGTGCAGGATCTTTATGATTGCAGAATTTGTATTCACAATATAGTGACAAAATACTACGAAACAAAAATAGCCTTACTTCCAACAGACAATTTTATAGGCTTAAATGATGCTGTAAAGAGTAAAATTGAAGGCGTTTTATTATATTTTGACTCAAATGATGTAAGCTGGTTTGATCAATCTTTATTACTTAAGAATAATATACATAATAATAAAATAATTTTGATAACTAGCGTTCATTCCTGAAGACACTTCCGTTCTACAAGGATTTTATTAAAGATCATAACATAGAATTTTCCATACTCCTATGCAAGCAACTTACAGAAAATGTTGATGCTGGTATTACATTTAGTTGTATAAAAAGCATTTATAATAAGTTTGACATCATTGAGCTTGATGGAAAATCGTGCGATGATAGTGACGATTTTACTGAACCCATTGGATATGATGAACTTGCTATGGCCCTACAAGTATTTCCCAAAATTCCAAATCTTGACACACATTGTATGTTAAAACTTAACGATTGACTTCTATCGCCTCCTTTTAAACTTTTTTTTTATTTTTGCAGCCAATGAAGAAAATGATAAACTTTCCGGGGATGATATAGATGTTCAAGAGGAAATAGACAGGTTTGAAAATCTCTTATCACAAATGCTACAATTTCGTCCAAATACAGAAAATATGTCGCGTGAAGAGCGTTTAAATCATGCACAAAACTTTGCAGAGATTTTCGAGAAACTTATTCTTCAAGATGCAGAAGAAGATGGAAGCGTATCTGCAGAATGAATTGAATAATACTAAACTAAGTTTAATAACTTTTATTAACACATTTAATATGAATAAAAAATATATAATTTACTATTCGAATGCTAGTAAAAGTCAAAAACTTTTTTCCATAACTTTTAATGTTGACACATGATATATTGGGTTTCGATTGCTGATCAAAAGTCTAATTTTACTATCACGGCTTCTGAGCAACAATCAAAAGAAAATATATCAAAAATATTAACTTCACAATTTTTTCTTCAACAAGAACGAACTTAATTCTGATAGCTGCTATAGAACACATCTGTTCACGACGAGATCAAATGATAAACTGAATTGTTCGCCAGATGAAGCGACCTAAAACAATGAATGAGATGAAAATTTCTTCCCCAATATTGGAGGGAAAAGATTTTTTTTTTATGTTTCGAAAAATCGGTTGTTGTCCTATCGCATGTACCATTAAAAAAAACTCTTCTCCAATTTTAGTTGATAGATGAAGGAATGGAATATAAATAATATCAATATATATTTCCGTTGCACTTAGCATAGTGAATAATGTTATCCTTTTCATGATTTTTTTTTATTTTAGACAATTATTTATACCTTGAATAATAACACTTATATTCACTAAATTTAATGATTTCTTATTCTGTCGTACTTACTAAGAAAAATCATTGACTTCTTAAAATGTTAAGGTAGATTGACACACAACGTATCAAAATAAATATTTAATGTAAACTCTGACTCTTCATTTCCAAATATTCAACCATTTAAATATCTGAATAAAGTAAATAAGTATGCATAAGAGAGTGAGAAAGTAAGTGATTAAATAATTCACGAGAATCCCAAAAAAAGAAAAATATTTTCCAAAAGAAAATATCAGACTTGTTTCTTCTTTGGAAATGGATTACAGTTTGTTTGTCAAGTTAAGTTAATGTTAACTTTTTGAAATAGGTTTGATGTGACATTTATTTCTTTTTTTTTTGGCAAAAAAAAATGAGTTAATGTTCTATATGTGTAGCACATGGTTATTGGTGCCTTTTAAACTAAAATTAAAATGTTTATGAGAATTATAAAATTTTCATGAAAAAATCTTACTTCCGAATTAATTAAGACTTTGCAAACGGAAAATAAGATTGCCGAAAATCAAACAGCTGCTTCCTTGAAACTGTTTTCAATCAAATTGAATCACCCCTTTGCACATTGTTAAAAAATAAGAAATAACCCCTGACTCTATCACTCATTCATTCATTTACAAGCCCAGGTAAAAGGGGATAAATCCTCTACCCATGAACGATTTCTTCTTAATACACATCCCTTTGATCTCTACTAGTTCATTGACTCTCTTAATGCAAGCTGCATCTCGACACGGATATTTTTTAACGATTTTTTTTATAGTGTTGCAGATTTATTTTTATTAAAAACCCATCATAAATTGCTGTTTACTATCTTCTCACAAAAGGAAGCTAAAGTTATTTTAAAAAAATTCAATCTGTAGCTGCTTGTGGTAAGTCATGAAACATTCGGTAGCAATGAAATTGAAAATAGTGTTTGATTGGTTAGCTCTATATCCGAATGAGTAATTTCCAAATGTCAATTAAAGTCGCTTTTCCAAATATTTTAAAACCACCTGATAAATTATTCACTTATTTTATCCATACAAACCATTTTGAATGTGTCAAATAAATTGCTTCGAAAACATGTGGCATGGCATATATAGAACGTTTTAAAAAACATTTCCTTCAGAAAATTATCACTGTAAATTGTTGAAAATACGAAACATACATTTTTTATCACAATGGACATGAAAAATGCATCAAAATGTCTACTAAATATTAACTGATAGATGTTAACTCTATATAATGGAAATGGAGACATTGAATTGGATCAAATTGAGACATGATTAAAAATAATGGAAGCACACAATTGTGCTTTTTTCCTTTTTCGTGAAATAAAAACAGGGAAAAATGATTTCAAACTCATAAAGTAACAAAATAATATATAAATATCATGAAATGTAATCCATTATTTTGTCAAAAAATTTGACAAATGAAAAACATGAAATTCCCTTTGGTGCATTATTAAATGAAAATTGAGATTGACTTTAAAGGCATACACAGAACTTCTATTATTTTCTGTTCTTAGAGACAACTTCTTAAAATGAATTATGATGGAGTCTAAAACACATATGAATATTAATAATGAGTATTTTTACTTGACGTGCAGTACCAAACATCACAACAGCGCACGAGGATTAATTTCTTAGAAAAATATAAATAAATAAAGACAAATGTCTCATTGTCTCCTTTAAGAGATTAGAACATCCGGATATAAGCTAAAGCACTTTGTTAAGTATAAGTTGAATCTCCAAAAGCAGAATGTAATGTTTGCATTCAAAATGACGAGGAACGATGTAATCATGCAATGAAAATAGTCCATAAAATGCTACAAATAAAAAGTTTATTAATGAATGATTTTGATTTAATTATGTTCATTTATGCATTAGTCTTGTAATTGAATTATTTTTCAAGAATTCGTGAACCATTGCTAATATTCATTCATACATTTCTCATTGGATAGAATATTCATGTCCCTTCATTTGAAATGCATACATGAATCATAATGAAATATACGCTTCAAATGACCCTAGCAAAAATTAATCTACACAAAAACTTAGAATATCATCCGTCTTACTCTACAAGTAAAATTGTACACATAAGCGAGAGCGAGATAGAAGAATAACTGACCATTTTTTTCATGTGGTGACTATATCATTTCCTCATACTTCAAATAGAAATTTATGAGATATTTTTGTTCATGATTCTTAAGCTCTATATTATGAAAACTGAGCATTTCAAAAGTCAGTAACGTTTTCAAAATACATTACAGAATCAAAATCTTATGGAAGCTTCAATCTGTAACAGTTCATACAATATGGTCACCCATTTTTTCCCTTCCCACTAGTCTTGTCCAATATACACATTTACTGCTACATTGTATTGCGGATAGGAAATATATGCAGGAAGAATCGAAAACGGAGATAAAATGGCGTTTTGAAATTTGCCTTAAAATTTTATTTTTGTCAATTTTATGAACGTTTCATGTTAATATTCATGATATATCCTAACTTTAAGAAATCAGAATGAAGTTTAGATTGATGCTTAATGACAATATTCGCGAAAAAGTTGATTTTGAATAGAAAACTGGAAGGTTGAGTATGTCAAATAATTTTATTAAACACTTTTAAAAGTTGAAGAAATTTAATCGAATTAATAAAGACTATCAAGATGCTCTTGAAAAGCAACAATCATTATGATGCGTTTGATTTCATAATCTCTCCAAAATGCAACACTTTATTTGGGTTGCAATGATTTTAATTAACATCATTTTCAAACCTTTTGTGACTCGTTTAACTTGACTTAATGAATTGAATTATTGTTTCATTTTAAATTATAGGATTCTTTTGACCGAGCATTACTGTGGAGTAAATTTATCACTTGTTTCTGTTCTAAAAGATATTTGATGAATTGAAACTTTTTTCACATTTATCATTATTAAAACTCGAATTAAATAACACAATATATATGATGTTAGATTAAATACTTAAAATTTCACACATGTTTAGTCGAAATTGAACAAAATTCTTATCAGTTTAAAATCACATCAAATTTTCATTTTCATTTTCCTTGGCGACGCCATAGGAAAATTCTATTGCTGTCTCTTTCACTCTCATGAGTTGCGTATTACTTTCAATAAATGAAAATGGCAATAGAAAACTCTTGCATCGAATAGAAGATTCATTAGGATATTGAAGTCTTTACTAATTGGTAACTACTGATTTTTTTTTTGTAATTTTTCTTAATTATCAACCGGCTTTGCAAAATCACTAGCTAAGAAACACAAATTTTTGAACTTTTAATTTTTGAAGAGAAATGTTAAAAAAGATGCGCACTTTAAAAAGTCTCGAACGTGAGTGTACACGCACCACGTTTTGAGAACGAAAAAAAAAATTGTGTTGATTTTTTAAGGGGTGCAAAAATTTTAAACATCAATTGAAAAAAAATATATATATGAGAATGATTTAACAAAACTACAAATACTATAATATTTATCATCCCTTTTATTTTCAAAACGGGTTGTGATGTAGCAGACAACGGCTTTAAAATTTTTTATAATGTAATTGTAGTTGAAATGAATAGGTACTGAAACTAGTTTCCATTCGTTATTTCTATTATTGTATCTTTACATACTCAAAAAAACGGTATTTGATCAAGAAATCATATTGCATCTTGCACATGGTTAAAAAATTAAGAGCAAAGCAAATAAAATTAAAATATCATGCAACGGGGAAGAAAAGTTTCCTCAGTCTCTTTCATATTATGATCCAACGTGCTTTATTACGGCACCCTTTTTATTGTAAAATTACACATCTATACATCTATCGTCATATATAATCATGCATCATGCAGCAAAAAAAAAAGTATGTGTATCTCACATAAAAAACAAGATTTTGTCTTTTTTTAACTGGTAGCGTCAAATTCATCAGCTGGCTTTTAATACCTTTAACGTCTATTGAGTATGAATGTTGCAGCGAGATATTAAGGAAGGATGTTAAAATGATACACAACGATTCATTGCACTTTTTAAATGCGCATAAATTTTTATTCAAAAGACACAAAAAATTGTGAATTTATTTATATTTTTTTATTTTTACAAATTATTGGAGATCCTTTAATTTCGAGTAGAGAAAATTATATTCGAACACGACGACCTCCCATTTGACAAAAATCTATTCATTATTACAAAACATTTGGATATCTGTGTAATAACAAACGGTAATAATGATCATGTATTGTTTACCTATTAAGAATCAACATACAATTAGCAAATTCGGTAATTTAATATCGGCTGCGCTGAAGAACAATCGTTTCTAAAATTGACTAAAGATGAAGGGCATTGGATATGAAAACATTTAATTTTGCTTTATTAGAGGGGTTCTTCACATTATTTTTTAGGCAAAAATAGGGCCAGAAATCGAACACTCTCGATGATTTATGTAATGTTTCAATAAAAAGCTGAAAAAGAGTATAAAAATCTTCAGGAACTTTATTGTTAATCTGCAAAAAACAGAAGGCATAACAATAAGCAAAAATATGTGAAATTTAAAAGTTATTGTATGACTATTGTTTTATTTTTATTTTTTATTTATTATTTGTTTATCGCTTCTTCCATGTGAACTTTCTACGAGCTCCTTCTTGACCAGGCTTCTTACGTTCTCTACGGCGATAATCTCTCTGAAGGAGACCAGCTAAACATTCATTACGAAGGAAAACAATAAATAAGTTTATATAATTATAATAAAATAATCATCTCACCATATCTCATTTTCTCAACCACGTCTGCATCAACAAAACTTCTTAAGCCCATAGCAATTCCCCATCGAATAGCTCCAGCTTGACCTGATGGTCCACCACCTTCTACATTTGCTTCAATATCTACTTTATCCAGCATTTCAGTGAATATGAGAGGGAATAAAATCTTTTTGGAGAGAAAGTTATAGTCGTTATATTTTTATAAGTTTTATATTGTACAATATTATGGAATATGTTGTTTCAACAAATAGACAACTGTTTATTAAGATAAAGCATAGTATTAATAGTTTTTCAAACGATGTAATTGTAGAATTTTTTTTGTGACTTACACATTTTAATGCAATGCAAATTTTTAAATCATACGATACAAAAAGTCTTGTCACAATTAGGGAACTTAAGCTTACACTAAAAATAGCTGTTTACTTAATTTGAATGATTTATCCCACTTAAAATGTATAAACGTTTACTTGTCAGTACTTTTATCTTGCTTTGCATTATTATTTGATGATAACATTGTTATTAATCTTTCAATTGCGAGACGATCTTGTCCTATTATCATTTTTAATTCTCGTATCTCATTTGTAAGCTGGTCAATTTTTTCAGCACTTTCTTCAATCTTATTAGTTAATGTGCACATACTATCAGTTTCGAAATAATCTGAATCGACAGATCTTTCAACTAATGCAGTTGCACTGTTATTTTCTAATTTATTCTTATAAGAAAAATATGAAATGTTTGAGTTCTTATTTGCAACAGTATAATGTTTTCTTGCTTTTGAAGCAGTTTCGTATGCAGACATGAGGATGTGTCGAGGAAGACGTTTCTCTCCTGGATTTAATGGTCGAACACTTAGTACTACTTTATATGCTTGAGGTGATACCAGAGCAGTATAATGTAGTAAACTTCTTAACCAATTCGGGAGCCATCCGTTAAATAATGCAGACTCAATGTACGATATGAGTTTTGTTTGTCGTACAAGTTTCGACAAGTCTGCTGTTTTTTTAAGTCCTTGAATGTCGTGAACTGCTATACCGACCAACAGATTCATCAACACGACAGTTACGAAGAGCAAAAATAATATGAATGTTACTTGCGCGGAAACTTCCAATAAGAAAGGAGGATCTTTTCCATCGGGATCATTCACCAATATTGACACATCGTTTTCTCCTGTCATCATGACTAAAACTGTGATGAAACCCATAAACGGATTCGCAAAATCGGGTGAAGATGGGAAAATTACACAAAAGCTAATTGTAAATCCAATTAGCATGCAAGAGTAGGCAGCAAATAATTTTGCAAATTCTCCTTGAACTTTGGTATACCTTTTAAGTAAATTTTAATTATAATTGAAGGATAATATAATAGTTATGAGCTTTCTTACATGGCTACGTAAGCGCCAAGTGCTGGAAGTTGTCCAATCATCAGCATCAAATTAGTCCAACCAAGAAGAACAGCAAAAGCTCCAACGTGATTTTGCCACGTATAAGTTCGATCAGTATATACATGTGATATAATAAATACACTCCAAATCACAAACCATTCAATTACATTTTCCATTTGTCGAACATAATGTTTGAATGATGAATAACCAGTGATGCCATATATTTTTCGGCAAATTTCAACTATTGTTATTGCAACTAGAAACCACCTATCAAATTTTAATTCATTTTTTTAGAATTCAGCATTATTAATTTAAATTTTCTTCTTTTTACCATTGCATTTCCATTACGAAGGGATTATTTCTCAACATATCTCCTAATATTGATTGTTTTTGACAAAGTTCTTGTTCTTGAATTGTATCTTCCATGTCTTTACTTCCATTATAACAGTTATGTGCTAAAGCAGTTAATACGTATAGCGTCAAAAACAAAACAAATATAAAGCAGAACAATAGACGAGCTATATAGTATTTCCTAATTTTGCCCCATTTAATGTATAGAAATGCTGAGCACAGCGGATGTTGTAGTATCTCTTTGTTTCCCTCATCGACAAATGTATTCAAATAACTAATCTCCCTTGGATGACAATGTTGCAATATGCTTCTAAAATCAAGTTCAAGTTCGACTTCGCGATTTTGATTATCTTGACTGTGTGTTAATGTTATAGCTTCATCAAGCTTTTGACTCACTATTGCTAAAGATGCCGGCGTTTTGCGATTGATTACATTTAGAGCAGTGGTACCTTTACGCGATTTTGTTGTGACATCTGAGCCATGGTAAATTAATAGCTCAACACAATGAGCAAGGCCATCTAGAGCTGCCAAATGCAGAGCAGTAAATCCATAAACATCTTTGGCATTTACATTCGCACCCCAAGATACTAGGGCTTCAATGATATCAAATGATGAATCAGATTTACTTATTGCTGCATGAAGGGGAGTTCTATGATCAAAATCTTCAGAATTAGGATCTGCATTTCCATCTCTCAACAATAATTCGACACATTCTAAATTTGATGTTCTTGCTGCTAAATGCAATGGTGTGAAACCACGATGATTTTTAACTTTTGCATCGGCTCCTTTTGCTAAAAGTAACCCAACACATTCAGCATTTCCTTCATCGGCTGCGAGATGCAATGCTGTGGATTCTTTTTCGCGAATACAAATTCGAATATTTGGATCAGCTTTAGGTGCGTTCAACAATATTTCAAGGCATTTCGAATGCCCTAAGTCTGCAGCCAACTAAATTTGTTATGATCACAATTATCAATCGGTTTACTATTTGAAATATTCGATTACTTACATGAATTGCATTTGTACCATTAGATCTTAACTGATTTACATCAACACCCTCGTCTATAAAAAGCTTTAAACATTCGGTGGCATTTGAACGTACAGCACAGTGTAATAAGGATTCGTCAGCACTCAATTTATTTATATTTCCATTTAAACTTCCATTTGTTACTTTTGCACCATTGTTTATCAACATTTTTACAGCCTCAGGGGAGTTTCCAAATGCAGCAAAATGCAAAGGAGTAAAACATTTTGTATGAAAATTTGCATCAACACCGTGTGACAATAAAAAATTAATACTTGTCAAACATCCACTAAATGATGCTAGATGAAGTGCAGAATAACCATTTTGATCACAAAAACATAAATCAGCTCCTATTTTAATAAGAGCTTCTAAAATGTCCCAACGTTTTAGAAATGTAGACCACAGGTATATTAGATTTTTCTCGATTTTACTCAAGTCACTCAACAGCTCAGAGCAATTAGATGCAATAATATTTCCTTGTTCAACATCTTCATAAAACTTTACATGTCCATTTACACCTACTGTCTTCATCTGATCCAATAAATTATTTTTTATAGATTCTCGATTAATATGAATACTCAAATCAGTTGTAGTCTCCTCAAAGCTGTCATACATTGAATTCGGAGCACTTTCTGCTGGTGGACATGTTCCCATTTCCATATATTCAAAATCTTCAGACGGATATTCCTCTTCAATCATTGCTTCAGGATCTTGCCTCCACCGAACCATAGACGAAGTAACACTTTTAAATCTAAATTAGTTAAATTCATTGAAATATGTCAAACGTACCGTAAATTTAAAAATTTACAGATAATACCTAGGAGATATCGAAAGCGGTAGAGCTTCGTTTTCTATGACACTTCCACGTGCTCGACTCATTCTACGTTTAGTCACTGTCGGCTTTGCGGAGCCTTCTTTATATCCCAAATTTTCCATTTTCAATTCAATTTTATGCACTTATAAGTTATTAATCTTATTATTTTAATGTTTTTAAAAGCTCATCGTTATTGTTTTTCGCATGAGTTTGTTATGAACTTTATTAATCAATCAGTTCCATCTGTACTTTTCATGAAGAAAAAAAAAACGTAAAATCAATTTTGCACTTTAAAATGACAATTATGTTCTCTGACTTTTTTGCCTTTCAAATAAAAATGAATTATGTTTTTATTCTTATTAAATTTTTAAATTGCTCCTTCAACGTCAGCTTTTTATTGGCATTATTACTATGTGTATATACTTTGTGAATTCAAGGAATTGATTTGTATGGCAAATTGAATTTGGTTCTAAAATTTTTAAAGTATTTAAAAAGGAAATTAAGTTTAGTGACTAATAAGATTAAATTATTTAAAAAAAATGGAAAAAAATTGGTGTGAAAATTCTTTCTAGAATGCACGAAACAGCGAAAAAGAGCAATTATATAATGTCATTCGGAAGGCATCTTTATTCTTATCAAAATTTTTCTGGAGAATTATTTTTTTGGGTATTCGTGATAAAGTCTATTAAATATATTATGTTTTTGACGTTACACACTATTATATCGAGAATGAAAATAACTATGAACTTGACTTTTATCTTTCACAAAAAAAAAAAGATCAGACCAAATTGTGTAGAACCATATTAACCAAACGAGGTACAAATAACGACTGAATTAAGTCAAATTGAAATTAAAAAAATAAGAATAGTAGTAATAATAACAACACAAAAAGTATATTCACTTTGAATTATTTATCACAAATGTACAGTAAGCGACGACACATGATTTATGGTTTAGCTTCATATGGAACGTTGAAAAGCCTATCTAAGTGAGATGCTACTATCTGCAAAAAGGAACACATTACGAATGACGAAAATGTGATAAAATCTGTTGATCTTGTTCCTAAAGATAACACTGTCATTAAGGTTTAACATTCAATTTAATACAAAAAGCGTGTCTGTATGTATGTAATTTTCTATTAGCATCATCGCATAGTTGTTATAATTAAAAGCTGAACAACGTTCAATTAAATCTCATTTCGGTTTGACAGTTTTTGCTTAAAATCAAATTAAATAGATAATAAATTCGATGCGGACAGCAACTTGATGAGTGTTGCTTGGATTATGTTTTATGATAAACAAATTGTGACGTAGTGAGTGCTTACTGTATTCTATTGTAAATTATTTTTAACTCTATATTATTCTAGATGACAATGAAAATTTGTATCTATTTGTTGCATTTTCTTTATTCCATATGTATCGGAGAGGAAGTCTATACACTCACCTGTTCTCGACTTTGATCGTATTCAAAGTATGTTACATCTTGTCCATTGATCAAAATTTTTCCAGAACCGGGAAATCTAACAGTGACATCCCCTCTAGCCTTTTTCCTCAGACACTCTGTAAAAATCAATCGCCTTTCACTTTACGATTTTTCTAATAGATTGATAATATATTAATTTACCATAAACTGTGATAAAACTCTTTCCATCTTTATCAATATGAGGTTTTGGAATATCCAGAATAATTGTTTGATTCATCAAAGGCCTCCTATATATGTCGATAAAATCTTTTACGCGGAAAGAATAAGGATGTTCAATAAGTCGATTCATTACATTCACAAAATATCTGTATTCAACCGGCTGAATATTCTCTACCAACTTCAGTTCTAACTGATCTTGATTAATCCATTCCGAACCAGACAATTCCCTAAATCAATTAAAGTTCAAATAAATAATATATTATAGCTTTGAAAAATTTATCTTACAGCCTAAGAGCAGGATCAACCGATTTCTGTTGCCTTGTCATATTATCCTCGAACTTATTAAGACCATTCAAATGCTCGACAGCATCCTGAAATAGTAAATCATATTATTGCTCTTTTCTTAAAAAGAAATAAGAAGTTCTTACGTAAAGCAGTTGAAAGAAGTTAGGCTTGCTGGTATAAAATAGAAAATGGTGAGCTCTACCAGTTTCGTCGAATTCTGCTGCTTTTCTTTCGGGAAAGATCTTCTCTGGAGGCTTCATCATCGGACGTGCTCTTTTGTCATATAAAGCCGATGGCATCAAATAACTAATTGCTTCCTAAACATTTAATAAAATAGCTACACTGGATCTTGTTTTATAAATAATAATTAACATACGTCAATCTTTTCTTGATCCTCGTAAATCACCGGATCTTCACCCATCATATTAGCTAAATGTCTTTTTCCAATCTTGAATTCCTCATTTTGTGTTTTCATGAATTCGTCGTGTTGTTGTGCTCTCTCGAGATATGCTTTCATGGCTTTACCTGAAAAATGGCAATACATTTGTGTGATTTTAATTTAATTACTGCTTTAAAATCTACAGTTCCTAATCAATACTTTCATTTTAACATATTTAACTTACTCGTTTTGTCCCTTTTAAGAAAATCCAAATTGATTGAACTAGTAACTGTGCCATAATTGAATGAATTAATCTAGTAAAGTAATGAATATTATTTAAATTCGATAGACGTATTATTACAACTATTGATGTTAAGCTTACACGATTGATTAATAATCTATTAACTGGATTATTTAACAATTTTAATGTACTTTTTAATAGCATGATTTTTCTATCTTTATTTTCACGTTTTTATTGTTGTTGTTGTTTCACAGAATTTAAATTTTTTTAAAACGTTATTTCGCTTAATTAAATTCAACACTAATCGGGTAGGGAACAGAGCGTTTCAATATGAAATTGTATTAAAACCATGTCATTTAAATTTATGATAAACTTATTGAGTAATGAACGAGGAAAAATTATGGAAGAAATTTGTCTTCTGAGGGGATTAAAAGTTGTACCGAGATGACGAGCTGGACTAGAAAAATTATTCTGGTCATTTAATTCATTAAGTGCTAATTGAAATGTTAATTTTATCAACTCCCGACTTTTTAAATAGCCTTTGCTACAGTTGTAATTTTTTGAGCTGCCAGGAAAAATCTTAACATAACGGAAAAATTTGAACTTTTTTTGGAAATGAATAATTTGAAAACTCCTGAGCAGAATTTTGAATTTCATATGACTGTTTTTTTTATTTAAGTTTGTTCCCCGGAACGGCTGGTGGCTTGAGCTTGAATCTGAGAGGTTCTATGTATGTTCTATATATGTGGTCCAAATATCAAGTCGTTTAAATTAAAACTAGTTCTTTAAATCAACCTGCTCAAGCAGTAACTGATGTCAAGTCTTTAAATTACTTTCTTCTTTTTGTCATCTCCAGGAGTTAACACATTATTACCACGTTTTTCTCAACTTGCCTTCTTATCTGTCTTGGTCAAATCTTGCGATTGATTTTTCGACCACTTTTACTGCTCCAATCGAGCTGAAAATTTGCATGCACTTATCTTTCCGATGACAATACAATATTCATGCATTTCGGAAACTTAAAAATGGTTAATTATATTACAAATAAATAAAATTTACTACTCTCGAATGCTTAGCTTATTTTTACATAACATTCAATAATTTTAAATTCAAAAAGCCGTTATAAGTTTGAATCACAAAAAATACATTATAAGACTTTCTACGGTTAAATTCTAGTTTACAAACGTATGCTGTGCGATAGCACAGCTGAGGCTCTGCAAATAGAAATGAGAATTAAGCATTTTTCAGTTATCGGACTATATTTTCTATTTCTTTGTTCAAAAGTATATCATATTATATATTTTTGGAAAGGTCTTGATTTGAGGGACACAAAAAACTTAATTATATTAACCAATTTTATCCAGGGTTGGAACACTAGTGCTCAGAATATGGTGAAAACCATACTTTTTCAACGCTCTTTTTCACCGAGTTCCAGTTGGTCAAAAAATATTCTTTTATGATTTTTAAAAAGATAAAATAACATACTAAAACGCAATACAGAGTTTTCAAAAAAACAACTCTGGGAAACAGAAATATGAATTTTTCAACTCTGGCAACTTTTATATGGGATATCCACTAAAATGAGGATAATTAATCACAGGAAACGAGTTTTGAAATAATTTAAACGGATTTGAATAGGTATTATAAAGTGAAATAATATAAACATAAAATATTTTGAATTACATAATATTCAAATGTTAAAAATACGTTATATGTGATTTTCAATGATAACCACAATATAATTACTTTTTTAAAAATTAAGATACTTAATCAAATTTTCTATGATTTTTTAATTGAAAACATGTTTCTAGTTAATAATTTATCACAAATTATAGAAAAAAGAAGCAAAAAGTAATTATATTGTGGTTATCATTGAAAATCACATATAACGTATTTTTAACATTTGAATATTATGTAATTCAAAATATTTTATGTTTATATTATTTCACTTTATAAAACCTATTCAAATCCGTTTAAATTATTTCAAAACTCGTTTCCTGTGATTAATTATCCTCATTTTAGTGGATATCCCATATAAAAGTTGCCAGAGTTGAAAAATTCATATTTCTGTTTCCCAGAGTTGTTTTTTTAAAAAACTCTGTATAGCGTTTTAGTATGTTATTTTATCTTTTTAAAAATCATAAAATAATATTTTTTGACCAACTGGAACTAGGTGAAAAAGAGCGCTGAAAAAGTATGGTTTTCACCATATTCTGAGCACTAGCGTTCCAACCCTGGATAAAATTGGTTAATATAATTAAGTTTTTTGTATCCCTCAAATCAAGACCTTTCCAAAAATATATAATATGATATACTTTTGAACAAAGAAATAGAAAATATAGTCCGATAACTGAAAAATGCTTAATTCTCATTTCTATTTGCAGAGCCTCAGCTGATCAATGGAGACTTTCTATGGTTAAATTCTAGTTTACAAACTTATGCTGTGCGATAGCACAGCTGATTGAAGGAGACTTTCTATGGTATTAAACTAGTTTACAAACTTTGCTGTGCGACAGTACAGCTTGTCGACGGATAATTTAAGTAATTTTTTAAAACTTAAAATAGGAAAATAAATACTTTATAAAACTAGTGTATCGGGGAGAAACCCAATGCGGATATATTCACACCGTACCATCAAAAGTCTTATGGATAGACCAAGATTTGCTCAGCAAAAGTTTGAAGGGTGGCCGTGAAGTACGGCCGAGACCCATATCGACACAGTTCAAAAGTTATACCTAATTTATGTCATAAATACTTAGTTTGAATTTTGTCACCCTTGGGAACACTATGAACCAGTATAGCTGATTTTGGTCCAAATCTCGGCCATACTTCACACTTATTTGAACCACATTTTCTCGTTAATGTTAAAATATTATTAAAAAGTAATTAATCCTGAATTATGTCGCTGTTTTGTCAAGTATTTTAAGATAAAGAATTTGTTTTTTGATTTCCACAGTGAAGAGCATGAACAAAATTCAGATGCGGTAGTCGAAATTTTAGATTTCGATTTTTTAAGCTATGCATTCCAAAAAGTGATATTGGTATGTGATTTATGTCAGAATTATGTCAATTCAAATAAAACATCCAAAAAATTTTTTTGACCAAAGTACACCATAGAAAATCAATTTTCACTTTTGGACTAGGGGCGACCCTAGTCAAAATCAATTTTCTCACTTTTTTCTTCGAGGGTTTATACAAATGGATTGAAACTTTGCATAAATATTCTAGTGCTTAAAACAAATACAAATAAAACATCCTAAAATTTTTTTGAGCAAAGAACCAAGTAGGAAATACATTTTCAATTTTGGACTAGGACCGACCCTAGTCAAAATCAATTTTCTCACTTTTTTCTTCGAGGGTTTATCCAAATGGATTGAAACTTTGCATAAATATTTTAATGCTTAAAACAAATACAAATAAAACATCCTAAAATTTTTTTGAGCAAAGAACCAAGTAGGAAATACATTTTCAATTATGAACTTGGGACAGGTCTTATCAAAATCTAGTTTTTCATTTTTTTTTTCGAAGGTTTATTCAAATGGATTGAAACTTTGCATAAATATTCTAGCGCTTAAAACAAAAAAAAAACATCCTAAAATTTTTTTGAGCAAAGAACCAAGTAGGAAATACATTTTCAATTATGAACTTGGGACAGGTCTTGTCAAAATCTAGTTTTTCATTTTTTTCTTCGAAGGTTTATCCAAATGGATTGAAACTTTGCATAAATATTCAAGTGCTTAAAACAAATAAAAATAAAACATCCTAAAGTTTTTTTGAGCAAAGAACCAAGTAGGAAATACATTTTCAATTTTGGACTAGGGGCGACCATAGCACATTGTGTTTTAGCTTTTGCCTTCTGGTTTTCAAAAATGTATAAACATCAAAATTTCTTTGGTACTTTTTTGAGATAAATTGATTTAAATAAGTAGCAGAATAATTCAACAAAAAATAAAATATCTTATAAAAGTTACGAAACAACAACTAAAAATGAGTTTTGTGTTATTTTTCGATGACAAACAATATTTAAAAACAAATTGCGAAGAAATTTTTTCAAAAAGTTCAAAATCTGCCAAGATATAGGGTACTTTTCATATCTGACGACTTGTATGGTTTTCGCATCACTCAAACTGCTTATATTTTTGTGTACCTCAATATTTCTTAATTTTGTTTACAGTTTATTGTAGCTTAAGTCTAGACCTTTCTAAGGATATATAATACTTTGTAGTTTAGTATTATCTTGGTCATGAATTTAGGACTTGTTTGTGAACGACCCTAAACAACAAAAAATCTCAAAAACGTCATTTCTAGAAATATCACCTAGAAACAAAATTAGGTATTGTTTTTAGGTTTTTCATGATGATATATGATATTTATGACTATTAAAACTTAAAAAAGTGTATTTCATAAATTTTTTTGCGATTTTTGTGTTTTTACCTATTCTGGTTGCGGTTCAGTATGTTTTTTTGATTCACTCAAATGACTAGAACTTTTTTCAGAATTAATATTTTTGCAATCTGTTTTCGATTATTGCTAGATTAAATCAATACCTTTAAAATGATGCATAGTCCTTGCATGAAACTTTGTTATAGTTACTCCTTGAGTGCATTGAATGAGACTGACGAAAACTGGTCTTTATTAAAACATTCAAAAATTACTTCTTAGCAAACAAAAGTACTTAAAACTTATTTATTTTGGCTCAATTATGTTAAATATAAAATATAAATCATTAAAAATCTTCGAATTAGTCTAATACTGAAGTAATACTGATCAAATTGATACTACTAGGGTCGTACCTAATCAGGCTACCTGAGATTGCAAAAAGTTTATGAAAGGCACTTTTTTAAGTTTTAATAGTCATAAATATCATATATAATCATGAAAAACCTAAAAACAATACCTAATTTTGTTTTTATGTGATATTTCTAGAAATGACTTTTTTGAGATTTTTTGTTGTTTAGGGTCGTTCACAAACAAGTCCTAAATTCAGGACCAAGATAATACTAAACTACAAAGTATTATATATCCTTAGAAAGGTCTAGACTTAAGCTACAATAAACTGTAAACAGAATTAAGAAATATTGAGGTACACAAAAATATAAGCAGTTTGAGTGATGCGAAAACCATAAAAGTCGTCAGATATGAAAAGTGCCCTATATCTTGGCAGATTTTGAACTTTTTGAAAAAATTTCTTCGCAATTTGTTTT